ACCCTCATTGGCTGATCTTCGCTTGTCACATGGTAACAAGGGCACCTGACACCAGGGCATGCAGCCAACATGTCCCAGGACGGCCTTCCAGGCTCGGGGTGTGGAGTAGGTAGATGAGCTGTGTTAGCTCTACTCTTGAGGCCGCTCAGGCCTGAATGACCACGAAGCTGGTCACATGGCCATCCCTATGAAGTGAAATCTATAACTGGTTAACAAGTTCTATTACATCATCATTACAGTTGCTCTGATATCTATGTCATCCAAAATTAGTGTGGCACTTGTTTTCTTGAGAGAGCATTATAAACTAATCTTGTGATTAATGTAGAGGCACTTTCTGGCATGTTACCATCTTCCCCCTCCCGTACAGAATGCTGCAGAGACAAAAACTCGGCAGGATTCTAGACTTCACGGATGAGCAAGGCGAGGGCCGGAGAGCAGAGGTCCTTTCATTGCTTCTTCATGACAGATCTTCAAGGGAATCTGTTATGCAGGGAGGACGCGGCAGGCAAGTAGGGCCCAGCAATGGCCTGTGGTCTGTCTGTCCCCACTGATGGAAGTGAAAGCCAAGTCCTTTCTCCTGCCTTTGAGGACAGGTGGCTTCAAGGTTTCAAGGTGATCCCCACAGGACAGTGCTTGGCTTTGTGAAATGGGATGTGTTTGCATAACGCCATGTGGCTCCTGCCAGCAGTATTTGTAAATGCCCAAAGGGATAAAAATCATTCCATGAAGCATTCCCTATTAAGTCTTAGCAAACCTGATCCTTCCTGGATGGTGGATGCTCACACACTGGACAGGTGTAAGACACGGAGCAGGAGCATGGGGGGAAGCACAGCGCTGCTCCTGACAGTTCCCCGGAGTCCTTGAGTGATGCCCACCCAGCCTGCACGTGTGAAAGTCTCCCAGAGCTCTGCCAGCTTCTCTCATCAAATGCACATTTGGCAACATGAAGTGAAACGGACAGAAGCCACCCTGTTTTCCTCAGCCTGACAGCCAAGGTTCTGATCAGACTTCTCCCATGGGCTTCCTGGTCCTCAGACACGGTCAGTCAGGTGCTTCCATGGGAATCTATGCTGCCCTGTATGGTTCTCGAACCCAGATCTTTATTCAAGAGCAACCAAGCCAAGGATCACCAAGCTCCTGGTGAGAACCGAGCCCCGTTGCCTAAGCTGAAGCCACAGGGACAGAGGGAAAGCTCGGGGACAGAAATGGAGCTCCTTCCTTGGAATTTTCTGTCGACAACCTTCACCCATGCAGGTAAGGAAATCCGTATGCCCAGTCCCTGGGAGGATGCCTGCCTCTGGCTTCCTGCAGGATCCCTGTTACTTAAATGAGTTAACATAAATAAACTTAGCACGTGGTACATGCAGCCCAATCTAAACAGACAAAATGCTGGCATTTGAAGTTCAGTATCAAGGGCTGCATCTTGGGAGCTTGACTTCTGGGGGGCGTGTTCTGCTGTAAGCTGCGTTCTCTCTGAGCCTTTGCAGTGGAGAAGACTGCTCACCTGACATGCAGCCTGAATTCTCTGCCTCCTCTCTGAATTTTCATCCCAGGACTGTTCTCTCTGGGACCGTGAATGGAATGTTTTCCATCCCCTTGGTCGGGATCCATCACTTGGGCTGAACGAGACCACCTGCGAGGGCACCAGGATCCCACCCAAGCTCGCCTGGCAGCACGAGGGGCAAGGACTCCTGCTGCTCCCTACCTCGGCTGCTCCTGGTCCCCGAGTCAGGCTGTGTGAGCCAGACTCTAACTGAAGAACACACCTGAATGCATCTACCCCCTGCTAACTCCCAAAGAACAAACGGAACCAAACTAAAGCAGCCTCCAATCTTTTTGTTTCCTGCTTCTTTTTTTAAAAAAATAAAGTTTTTATTGGAGAAACAGGGGAGGCAGACAGAGCGTGCCCACACTCTGGCTCATTTCCCCATGCGCCTACAGCAGCTGGGCCCAGAAGCAGAGGTCAGGAGCCCCGAGCCTGTCTCCTGGCTAAGGGGGCAGGAACTGCATCCCTGAGCCAGCACGGCTGCCTCCCAGGGCCTGCACTGGCAGGAAGCTCAAGGCAGCCGGTGCAGGATGCAGGCATCTGACTGCTGGGCTGCGCACCTGTTCCTCTCTCCATGTTCCTACAGTGAAGGGAGTGCCTGGGGCTAGGCTGTCAGCAGTTTGGGGTTCACAAAGTCACACATCCTTTGGCAACTCTAACAGAATGTTCCAGAACCTCTGGCAATGCCCACCAAATTTGTGGGTGCTTTCCTGAAATGGTATAGCATTTTCATAGAACTATACACATCCACTTAAATCACTGAGTCATTTTGAGGTGACTTATGACTCCTAATATAGATAAATACTAAGAAATCGCTGTTGGATTAGATTGCTTAGGGAGTAACAACAGGAAAAAAGTACTCAGCACAGGTGAGATGCTTAAAAATATACTTCACTGAGGTGGACTAAATCTGAGGGTTTAGATTGGACATGGAGAGCTGACTGATGACACGTTTTGAAACTCCCAATGGCAGTAGCTAAACTAAGACTAAAAAAATAAGCCATATATTTTCTCTTCATTCTCCTATTTTTAAAATAAAAATGTATAATGAACTATTAAATTTAATATCATGTTAAAGATTGTGAAAAGTTATATAGCTATCATACTTTGGGATGCAAAGATGGAAAATACAATTTTTAAACAATTTATTCATTTTTATTTGAAAAGCAGAGTTAGAGAGAGACAGAAATAGTTTCCATCTGCTGGTTCATTTCTCAAATGGCCACAATGGCCGGAGCTTAGCTGATCCAAAGCCAGGAGCCAGAAGCTTCTTCTGGATCTCTCACGTGAATGCAGGGTCCCAGTGCTTTGGGTTGTCCTCCTCTGCTTTCCCAGGCCACAGCAGGAAGCTGGGTCAGAAGTGGAGCAGCAGAGACACAAACTGGTGCCCATATGGGATGCAGGTGGTGCCGGGGGAGGATTAACCTGCCCAGGGAAGGGGCATGTGTCACCTTCTCTTTGTCACTGGCATGGTGTCAGCACCCTCGGCTGTTAGCCCATGTCACCAGCGGCTCCTGGGGCTGCTCTAACAGGCAGACATGCCCACTGGCAAAAGGACATGCCAGTATGGAGAGCTATTCCCACAAGACATGCGGCATTCTGGTTTTGCACACATCCCATGACCTGGAGCTCAGTATCTGAGTCAGGAATAGAGAGACACACAGAGCAAAATGGGGAAATCGGATTACATCAGCATCTGCAAGGCCGTGGACATGCCGTATGGACTTTTAGTTTTTCTGTCCTTGCATGAAGGGGCCCAGAATCTGTGTGTTGTTAGGAAAACAGTCCAGGTGGGCAGTGGACATACCCTGCCTACAATGCCCATCTCCAGAGGAGAAAGGCTATGACAGAGGCGGTTGAAGACATCATGGGAGCGAGGAGATGGTGAGGGTGGAGGAACGGGCAGCATGGGAGAGAAAGAACTCAGGAAACGAGTGGGAAAGGGGAGCCCCCTTGCTGGAATCACACCCAAGCCGGCCTGTAAACAGCTTGAAAATCAGAACACACAGGAAGCCCCTTAGAATGACCACAAATCTGTCTTCAAAACCTGGGCAAGCAAGAGAGAAGGGCTAAGTCTGAGAGGGGAGAAAGAAGAGGGAGGAAGGCAGAGGGCAACCCCATCCCCTCATTCTGCCACATGCAGCACCATACTTGTCTGCCCACTGTGAAGTCCCTGCTGCCTCCAGGCTCCTGCCAGAGGGACCAGCATCGGGAGCCTCTTAGGTTTCTCCCAGAACAAAAGCTGCTGCATTTGACCTGAGGTCCCATCCATCCAGATGGGCTTGGATTCTTCTTCCCTTCATTGGTGGAGGGAGGCTGGGAGAACAGGGAGCGCCGAGGGCTTCTCTTCAGGACCAGCCTGACCCCTGGCTGAACAAGTTCTAGAGGGAGCCCCCTGACCCATGGCCCGAGCTGTCCAGCACTGTCCCCAGACCACAGCAGCCACATGCCCAGCCAGCTTCTTCCTTACCACCCAGCTGTGCAGGATGGTGGGCTTTAGGCAATGATGCAGGAGGCACGGCCACAGCCACCGGGAAAAGGGGCGTATTCAGATCATGGTGCTGCCTTGAGATACACTTCATATGTGAGAATAAGCCCAAAATGATGAAAGATGCAATAAGGGGATGGGGGCGGGGTGGAAGTTCATCTGCCTAAACCTTCAGGTGGCACCCCATGTGGGAACCAGCTCATATTCCAGCTGCTCCATTCCAGACCTTGCTCCCTGCATGTGGCCTGGGAAAGCAGTAGAGAACAGCCCAAAGCCTTGGGACCCTGCACCACATGGGAGACCTGGGAGAAGTTCCTGGCTCCTGGCTTTGGATTGGCTCAGCTTCAGCCATTTGACGAGTGAACCAGCAGATGGAAGATCTTTCTTTTTGTCTCTCCGCGGGGTATATCTACCTTTCCAACAAAAATAAATAGATCTTTAAAAGATAGTAAAAAAATAAAAATGCAATAAATGAAGACAATTTAGAATTGGAGAGATCTTCCTCAATAACATAAAGAATCGCAAAGCAATCAACAAAAGGTGTATTTGAAGAAATATTTCAAAGACTTATAGGACGAAATTACAACAATGCAGGGAGATTTGTGCCAACAACTGTTCTAAGAGACCATGGAGACAGGTATTCCTGGTCTACGCTTTACATATGTGTGTGTGTGTGTGTGTGTGTGTGTGTGTGTGTGAATTATTTGTGCAGTGAGGGAACAGTTAAAACTCAAGACGGAAGTTTTGTTCTCAAAAGGGTGGTGAGAATGCCTTTGTATTTTTTTTTTAACTATGAATGCCTTTATTGGTTTGCAAAGTAGAAAAATATCTCATGAAAAACCCCTTTATGAGATGAAGAGAACAGACAAAAATGCCAAAACAATCACACCCCGTTGAATCCCCCTCCTCCTTTTTAGACGCCAAGAAAGTTACAGGTGTGGCTATGCAACCTTACAGAGACGGTCCTTCAAGCTCTTCACTTTTTTAATAAAATGACATAAATTGCTGAAAGCATCATGAACACGGTTATGCTACATAATACTGCTACAGTGTGAATAGTACAAAGTTCATTATATATATTATACGGTTCTCATATATTACATTTGTCTCTACATAAACAGACTATAAATATGTGTGCCATAGCATGTTCTAGAGTCATTGTTCCCAGCATCTCAAGCTGTGATACCAATGGAAAAACAGATCCTTTAGGGAAGAAAAAAAAGGACAGAAAGAACAAGGGTAAAGCCTAGAAGTAGCGACATTTGTTAAACGCCTAAATAATACAATAGGTGTTGTTATGGCTTTAGCTATGAAGTAACGCTGAGAAGTCGCTAACAGAGAACAAACAAGTCAAGTTGGGTTTACTGGAGTGTTCAGGGCTCCAAAGAACCAAAGTGGGGGTCCAGATGGGAGCAAGGGGTTGGGACAGGAAGGTAAAAGCCTTCCGGAAACTTCAACATCCCACCTGCACATCCCATCAACACTGCACCTGCCGCTGTCAGGCCCAGACATCCCTGGATGCATCCACCCATCCAGAGCATCTAGAAGTTAGTTTGTGGAGTCACACTTTCGGCCGACACAGGGAGCATCAGCTGAATGTCATTTCTCTCTGTGGTGCTGTGAATGGCGGGTCAGCCTGGGAGACAAGGAGCCAGGCCTGTCTCACTTCCTTCCTTCCTGGGGCTCGGCCAGGAGCCACATCAAGGTCCGGAAGGAACTCTCATTAGGGGTCGGAAATACAACCAGGAACTCTCCTTGGGTCCAACTGCAAAGAGCACGCCACGTCCTCCGACCAGATCCTGGTACTAAGCCTGCACTGCTCCCGAGAGACCGCACAGCCACCTCCGCCAGGCGCCTGCAGGTTCTGCCAAGGCTCACAAGGCAGGACACGTCCTCCTCTCCAGTCAGGGGTCCCAATGCCAGAGCTGAGCATGGCTTCAGTCCTGCATCCAAACCCAGCCCCGCAAATGAATCCGGTCCTGCCACTCATCACTGTCTTCACCACTGGCAGCACTGACGCAGCTGCTTCATCTTCCCGCTTCACAGCCACTTCTTCCAGACAGGCAGTCCCTTCTCCATCTGAGGACCACAAGTGCACGCCTGAGAATCACTTTGGAAATAGCCAAAAGTGAAGAAAATCGACACTGGAAGAAGATGCCAACACATTCTTGGGTCGCAAGCGTCCGCTCAGAAAGCGCCTCCCTGCAGTCCGAGTGAGGTCCTTTTGGTGTGGATTTTTAGGGAAATGTAGTCACAGGTGGCTGTTCTTAATGCTGGTCAGCTGAGTCCTGCCTCTCCTGTGAGTCCCAGGAGCTGGGGCAGGCAGTAACTCCGTTTAAACAGGAGGGGAGCTCAGCCTGGTCCCAGAGCCAGGCTGGAGCCCCAAGGCTGAGCCACCAGCAGGCACACCAGCCTCCACTCGCTTTAAAAGTTCTGCCTCCTCGCCAGAGGACACTGCGGTGTCTGTGTCATCAGAGTGGTACCCTGACTGGTAGCCGCTGGTCTGGTTGGAGCCTTCTGATGCCACAGACTCCCGACTTTTGCTGGGTAGCAGCCCACTGCAGAAGAAACAGCAAGCCCGTGAATTGGCAGAGAGAAGGTGGTGCTTTGGCATGGCACCCCAGACCCAAGTCTCAGCCCCCCTGATCCGTGGGCTGGAGACCTCCTTTTCCTTCCCCCCGCTGGCTAAGCAGCCTATCAGGTTTTCTGGGACAACATCTATTTTCAGGTTCTAGCATGAACAAAGCGTCTGAAGATAAGTCTCCTCATGCAAGGTCAAGTCTTTGAAGCCCTGCCCAAGATGAAAGACTGTTCTGAGCAGGGCAAAGATGCCAGACCGTGGAACAGTTTTTGTGCCTTGCTGACGGACAAGTCTAGCTACAATGAGAGGCACCAGGAGGCCTCCTCCATTTGTGCTCTTGGTCAGTTATGGCAAGGCACACGGAGGGTGAGACCAAAGGCCCCGAGCAACCTGAAACTTTCATCCCTTGAGACGTGTGCAAGCAAGCCAGACAGGTCCAAAACTGCTTTTTACTCATCAGATGCACATTCCTTGGAAGGCCTGGGGACCCAGTCACTCAGCGGCACCCCGGGCACGTGTTCCATGGCCTGGCATCCTCACCGTGTCCGTGTCAGAATTTGGCATTGTGGACCAAGTAGATCAAAGCCACGATGCCTGCTGCTTTCTCAAGGCCTTCTCAGGGGCATATCTTTCGTCAGTGTTGTACCCAAACTCCCCAAGTTAAAAACTCCAAAAAAAGAAAATGGTTTGCTAACTCTGCTGAGAAATATCTTGAACGTTATTCCAAAGACTGAAAGTGGAATGCCTTTTTTAGTCCAACCCTAATAAAAGTAATTCAAGGACCTCCAAGGCAGGGTGCCTGGTACACAGTAGGTGCCAAACAAATGTTTTTTGAATCTTTATATGAAACTTATGATTGATTCTCATGATTTCTCACTTTGTGTCTTACAGATGATTAATTTGGACAATGGCACATTTTAATGAGCTTTTTGGGGTGAGAGTGTCTGGGGGTGTTGCATGCCTTTCACTCAAAACCCCATTTTAGGAATGTCAGATTCCAAGCAGATCAAAATGTTTTCTATTCACCCGTATCTTATTATTCTTATTAATACAGATTTTCATGTGTTTGTTATGTTATAAGTAATTATACCTGTTCCAAGCAGCTGCACATTGCCATTGAGTCACATGGAAGAGATTATACCGACAACCAAATATAATACTTTGTCCACCATTAAGTATTTAATAATTCAGGCGATATTTAAATGTCTTAAATAAATAGACACTGGCTGCTCACAAAGCACACTTTCTAAAATCATTCATTTATGCACTGGTCTGGATATTCTTCCAAGTCCACAAAGATTTTCATCTATTGATATCTGTAAGGATCAGAGCCAACGCTCTCCTTGTTGCTTGGCCAATTCCATTTAGACTACCAGCCATGGTAAATAGGCTCAGAAATTTCCTAGCACTCAGAAATTCTACTAAAAATCAGCCAAGTCCTCCAGTTCCCTTCCGACTGCTTTTTAGACTTGTCACTTCACGGCTTGCTCGGTTTCGGTTCTTGCTCATTAAGGATGCTAGCTAACTTCTCCAACCAACCAAGACACGAAGAGGCAAAACTGCACTCACACCTTTCAACAGTTCCTGCCAGGATGTGTTTCTTTTGGCTTAGTCTTACCTGAAAGATGGAACTAATTTGCTCCTGTCTTCCAAAGTCTTCAGTTCTTCTGACGCGAGAACCATGCCACTGTCGGTCTGGTTGTCCTATGAAAGGAAAAAGGAGATGGCTCAGCTGGCTCAAGTGTGGACACTGGACTGCTGTGTGGGTCAACTGACTTTCCAGCTCAGCTAGCAGATACTGTGTTCCAATGTCCTGCAATGGAGGGGTTGGGTACCACAGCTAGAAATGGCACAAGCTGTGAGAGGAAGCAAGTGGGTGCTACAGGCAGATTCAGACCACCCTGGTCTGGGAGCAGAGAAAATAAATGGAGCAGCTGAGAGTGTCTGCCCATCCCTCTCTTACGACAACAGCCTCTGCACTTTAGGAAAAGCGGGCATGAAGTCCGTTCATTTTGAACCTTGGACTTGAGGGAGATTATTCATGGAAAAACCCAAGTTCCCTCTCCATAATGACCCCGTGGCACATACCACCAAGGACAGCCTTACCGGGAGGCTCCAAGACACAAATGCTAAGGCTAATATTTATGTAGCTAGGGTTTCAGCATTTGTATTATTTCTGAGCCTATTTTTAAAAGATGTACTTACATCTGGGATTACTTTTACTTCTGGTTCTTCCAGTGGAATATCTTCAAATGTTTTTACACTCACAGGCCGGCTCTTTCGCTTACTATTCTGCAGATACTGACTGCAAAAGAACAAATATTTATATTTGAGCAGTGGGCATAACTGGCTGCAGATACCACAAGTGATACCTATGTTCATTATCTTGCAACCACCAGTTTAATAGCAACCTTCAAAACATCCCTTGGAAAAAAAGAAAAATAAAACACAATCTCTCTGCTAGCACACGTTGAAGGCTTAATTTCCTGTAAGACTCCATTTAAAAGTATAATATGACTTGGGAGCCTGGATGAGCCCGGATCCTTGGCATCTTACTTCTGAAGTCCAGCACTGGCCTCAGGACAAGAGCAACACGGGCTAAGGGAGTCGCTGCCCTCTGCTTGGTCCGCCTGAGTGCCTGTGGCCACACTGTGGGGCTCTCACATCTTCTAGGTAACACTCAAACAGAGCAAGGACCTGGGCTGAGGAGACACCTGGAGGCTTCTCTGAGCTCCAGCTAACCCAGTAAGGGGCTGAAGACAACTTCCTTCTGTGGGTAATGGAAGCTTGGCGTTGAACTGAGGCTCAGGAACCCCCACATTCAGCCCGCCGTGTTGCCTGTCTAGGAAAGCACAGGGTTTTGAGAGTGGTCTTTTGTCTTTCTGTTCAGTCCACCATTGCTTACCCAAACTTGAGACACCACGTGAGCTTCCAAGGCACTGTACTATGATGGACAGGCATGAGGCACAGCTTCCCCACCTCCCACAGATGCTGGGAAGATGAATGAGATGGCCAAGGTTGACCTTGGCATCCTTAGGAAGATGAATATGCCACCAACCAGAGCTTGCTTTTCTCCTTTAAAGGCCAAAGGAAAGCCCGTTTCCATCAAGAGTCTGAAGAAGAAACCACATCACCTCTTCCCTGGGGACTGCCCTCTACCTGACACGTGGCTGTGAGTGGACCCGCACAATCCTATCAAAATCACATACAGCCCCAGTGAGCAGAAAAGTCCCCACAGGGCAACAAACCTTCTTCACTCCTACCCCAACTCATCTCTCATACTGACCTACCTTACAGCAAAGGAGAAGGGAAACTGAGTCTCTTTTCTTTATGTGAAGAGGCTGGCTGATCCTCTTCAAGGAATGGGGACACGAGTTTCACAGGTAACTTCCACACACAAAGCCCAATGTGTGAAAAATAGGGCATGACCTCCAGCAGAAGCAAAGCCTGCCTCTCCCTAGGCCAAAGGGCAACTGTCAGTGTACCGCGGGGTCAATCATTCACTCTTACTCATCAGGGAACCCTTGTTCAGAGTCTCCCAGCTGCCAGGAAATGCCAATTACTCTCCCAGCACCAATACAGCACCCTGACCACGGTACTGCTCCAGGAGCGGGTACTGCCATCCCAGCTTTGCAGAACTGAGGCACGAACAGGTTAAGGAGCTGGTGTAAAAACACATCACCAGAATGTCTGGATTAGTATTCTTAAGCCGATGAAGAATCCCTGGAAGATTGTAAGCATGTAGGGCAGACATGCCCTCAGAAAGTTGACTTTGGGTGTCAGACATGAACAGGAAGGATGTGGACCTGATCCAGGAAGACAGGTTAGCCTGTGGAACGCAGGCAAGGTCCAACTGGTGAAGCAGGCTCATTCAAGAGACAACTGGGATGTGGAAGCTGCTCAGGTGGTGAGCTCCAGCAACAATGCAGTTGCCACAGGAAGCTCCTTGGAATCTGAGCCCAGCACCACGGTCCTTCAGAGTTCACAGCGCACTTTCGCAGACATGCGGCCTCCGCCCCACACACGTTCCGGAAACAGGTCTGACCGTAGATTTCTCCCCTTGGAAATAAGGAAGCCAAGGCCCAGGGAGGCGAGCATTGCCAACAGAGGCTGGCCTGGGACTCCAAGCCCCCGCCGGGGAAATCTGTCGTTGTTGTTGTCCTTTCCTCTCCATGGACTCCCTTGGAAGAGCATCAGGAAGGAAGAGGAAGCACAGAGCAGCAGACTCAATTGTTCAAGTCTTTATTAAGCACCTCGGACGTGCGTGTCCCGTGTGCGCGGATCTTGAAGTGGGTGGTGTGAAACAGACAGGAGTTGAATAAACATCAGCCCCCGTTCAAGTAGATAGTCTCCAAGCTAAACCCCGGAGCAGCCAGCTGGCTGCATCTCACAGGCACCATCATCAACCCTACCATCTTCCCCAAGGAAGACACCGATGTGAACCAAGCCCCTTCTCTGTGGGAGAGCTGCAAAGCTGCTTGGCGTGGGAGGTCATAAACCCTACCCGGTCCCCAAGCCGCCCCCCCAAGAAAGATGAGTCCCAAGAATACGTGCTTTCTCACAGGAAGCATGCAAACTTGGGGTCAGAGCTGATCCGCGGGAGGGAAATTAGAGACCAGGCTAAGTCGAGACAGGAGGAGATCCTTCCCCCGCACACTTGCCTCCTCTCTCAATCCACACTGCGCAAATATTTTTACAACTGTTTAGAGAGGGACAAGAAAGCACGCAGCTACCTCTTACAGTGACGCCCCGGTCCAGCTCTATTTATAATGAGATGGAAGAGGCAAGTGCTGGATCTCCTTGGTTGGAGACATGAAGGGGAACAGAACAAGTCCCCCAAGGGGACCCCTGCTCCCCTCAGGGAAGCTGAACCACAAGGCAGCAGCAAAACCAAGTGCATTCATGTCTCCAGTGTGCTAACCACGACAAGGTGGCTGTGAGTCGTATTTTTATAAAAAGGGAGAATGGGGAACGGAGTGGGAGAACTGGGAGGGTCCACAGACCAAAGATTGCAATTCCCACTTTATTTTTCAGATGATGGCTGGAGATGGATAAAAGAGAAACCAGGCCAGAGAGATCAATTCAAAAATCTCAGTTGGGAAACAGCAGCCAGGCCTGTGGGGGGAGTATGGCGTCACCGCTCTGTGCATCGAGGGATAAATGTGAGCAGTCGTTTCTCAGACACAGTGCTGTCTCTAGCACATCCACAATACACACGTGACTGTAGCTCCTGCTTGCCCCCCCCACACACACACCAGCTAAGAGGCAGCCTGCTTCGCACACTCGCTCCATACCAGGTCACAGGAAACACAGGAGGGCAGGAATGACTCTCCGAAAGAAGGAAGGTGCTGCAGTGTGACTCACACTTGAAGCCCAGCCACACTGAAGCTAGGCATCGGCCAGTGTGGGAGAGGAACTGAGGTATCACTTCATGACATGCTCTCCGAGGACTTCTCGGGACAGGAGGAAAGAGCGCTGGGCCGAGGGTCCTAGGACCTGGATTCATGTCAGAGATGTGACCCTGAGCAGCCCACCTGGTTACCGAGGGCGCCCACCTTCCCTAGGAGCTCTCCACTCCAGGCACCCCACAAAGTGCCCTACTATGCAATTCTCACTCAGCCACATGCATACAGCACCGTGGCCACGTCCCACAGCGCACAGAAGGGAATTGAGGGGCAGGTTGGTTGACAAGCCCCAGTCACAGTAGTTACCCACAGGCAGATTGTAATGCCCCACCTATCCCTACCTGACCCCAACTCCTGGATATTGAACCCCAGCCTTAAGCTGCCACAGGGAAGAAAGCTGGCTCCAGTATTCAATATCTACATCCAAAAGCAGGTTAATGTCACCTGCTGATAAACACCAAATGAGCAAATGCTGAGAAGGGCTGTGTATGGAAATGTCATAAAAACACATCACACCCCCAACAGCCTGCTAGCATCTCAGTCTTCTCAGAGGTCAGCTTTGGACAGCCACGATCCCACTGCCCTCCATGGGGCTCACTGCCCTTCATGGGGCTCACTGCCCTTCATGGGGCTCACTGGCCACAGACCCCTCCTCTGTGTGCCCTAGGTGTAGCCATCTGCCACATGCGCCCAAGAGAGCTGCAGTTCCTCCTGCCACTGCAGCACACCAGAGGGGCAGGCTGGACACACGCTGCTGGGAGATGCAGCCAAAGGAGGGAAACAACCACGAGCCCTTGGATAGAAACTAAGGGGAGGCAGCCCCTGCACTTGGGAAAGGCCATTCCAGCATCGTGTGGTGGAAACCCGCATGGTAGGTGCTGGGATAGAGAAGACAAGCAAGCTGCTTCAGGAAAGGACTATTGTGTACCTGCTACAAAGAAGCCCAGATGATCCATGGGGCAAACAAAATGGGAGGAGGAGCCCGAGACGCAGCATCCACTCGATTTCAAGCCACGGGTCCATGACCATCTGCTCCCTGACCAGAGCACCTCACATGTGTCCAGACATGCACCTGCCTACATCTCTCTCAAGCCATTAACATACAAGGCCAAAGGCACATGTGGGGAAGACTGCAACACAGAAGTCTGTGTGAGACCAGCCTCTTTTTCTGCAGGTTAGCAAACCCGAAGCATTGTGGCTCTGTGCAGCTGCCGGGCTAGGGATTCTCAAAGGACAGCGGCCATAGCAATGTGGACTAGAGGACAGCCCCAGTGCCCAGGGCCTCTCCAAGCAGACTCACTGCCCCCATTTGCCCATACACAGAGTCTCGGGGCCAAGGTTAAGGTGAAGTGGGATGCAGGAGCTGTCTTCTTCCCACTGCCCCTCCCCATGGGGCTGTAAAACTCCCCTCTCTCCACCCCCAGGGGAAGTCGGCCATCCACGGTACCTGATTCCTGCTGTGTTGTCATAATGGAATTTGGGGTCACACACTTCCTCTTCTTCCATACAGGAAACAGGTGAGGTAGGCAGAGAGAGCCCGGAATCCTCCTCCATGCTCAGAGTCTCTGACATTGGGAGAACAATGTAATCCTTGCCGTCCTGCAACCATAAACAGAAGCCTATTGTTATGGCTTTGGTCCCTCAAGAGCCTTTCCACAGGGAAACAAAGACCTGAGGCTCCCTGGCTGTGGATGCACTGCTGTCCGTCCTATCCTAACCCAACAAGGGGCCCTCAGAAGCAAGCTCAGGTGTGCAGAGGGCACTACATACATGGAGGGGAAGGGGCTCACGAGAGAACTGTGGACCCCAAGCAGGCTGGGCAGATGTGGGCCCAGACAGCCTAGACGGAACCAGCAAACAGGCAGAGGATACGCAGAGCCCAGACCTGTCTCTTCACACACAGCCCTGGTCAACCAGGGCAGCCCCCACAAAGCATATCCGCTTTTAGCCTCTACCTTTCAAGCACTAGAAAAACAGACAACAGGTTCAAGAAAAGCAGTAGGTGGGCTGGAAAATGGGTCTTCCAAGAAGACGATGCACAATTTAATACTGTTCCTTAAGAGAAAGAAATACAGGGCAATTGGCTTCAAATGTTTGCAAGGTGGTGGAGAAAAACAGATGTTACCAACTATCCTCCAGCCATTCAAGAGGAAGAGGAAATTGGTTGTCATTGTAGGACAAGACATAAATGAATGATAAAATGACTTTAGGAACCAGCATGGTAGCACTGCATGCTAAGCCTCCACCTGCAGCACCAGCATCCCATATGGGTACCAGTTCAAGTACCAGCTGCTCCACTTATGATCCAGTTCCTTGCTTTTAGCCTAGGAAAGCAGCAAAGGATGACCCAAGTGCTTGGGCCCCTGCTTCCTTTTGGAAGACCTGGAAGATGCTCCTGGCTCCCAACTTCAGATTGGCTCAAATCTAGCCATTGCAGCCATTTGGACAGTGAATCAGTAGATGGAAGATCTCTCTCTCTCTCTTTCTCTCTCTCTCTGTCTCTTTCCCCCCTGCCCCCATAACCCTGAATTTCCAATAAAAATAGTAAATCTAAAAAACAGTAAAAACCAGTAAAGGCAAAGTGTACACACTAAATTCCCTAATGGAAGGAACAGGGATTGGAGTTTTCTGGAAAGAAAGAAGAAAGGAAAGAAACGAAGAGGAAAGGAAGGAAGGAAGGAAAGAGGGAAGGAGGGAGAGATCCTCAAAGTTTCATAAAAAAATACATGTTATGAAAAAATGATGCATGGATTTCAAAGATTTTTTGTACCAAAATAAACATATGTTTAATTTAATTCATCTGGGAACATTCTGAGGTTCTCCCTGTAAGTAGGCAGGAGTAGGTGCCACTGGCTCCCAGGCCACAATTGAAGATGTCATCTCTCTAAAGGGACTTGGAGCTTTCAGGGGAGCACCACTGTTCAGATCCGGAGGCATGCTGCTCCTCAGCCTGTGGCTCAGGGGCCAGCGCGATGGCCAAGAGCAGGGGCCAGCAGAAGCAGTGTCCTGGACACGCCCGTGTGTGCAGAAGCTTCTCAGGTGAAGGCTTACAAACCTGCTGAGCATTCGCCTGTAGCAGGTTCCCCAGATGCTCCACCAGCTCGGAAAACGTGGGCCTCTGATTGGGTTCCCCGTGCCAGCAGTCAAGCATGGTCTGATACCTATGGATGCAAAACGGCTGTGTCATGAGTCACCTTCCTCCCCGATCAGAAGCTGAAGGTGAGGAAGCTACAGGAGAACATCCTTGACTTAAGCCAGGGACACACAGGAAAGCAGACATTACAACTCAGCATCTAACACAGTCAGACAGGAGGTGTGCCATCATGATGCACCCTGTTTGAACCACTCTGTGTGATTGAGAGCAGCCAAGAAAGGCTCAACAGAAAAGAAGGATCCGAGCCCTGCAGCTTTCTCCCCATTGGAAACTCCAGAGGTGAGAAAAGTAGGTGAACGAGGAAAGCAGACAGCACACCAAGTCTTACATTTCCGGGGTGGTGTAGTCAGGAGCTCTCATTCTGGTTCCTTCTTTCAACCGCCTACAGAAATCCTCATCAATCTTTACCCCAGGATAGGGTGAAGCACCTAGAATCCAGACAGGAAGGGAGCATGATTTGGTTTTTCTCTTCCAGAAAGTTCTGAGGCTGATTCTGGCCCATCCTCATCATTTTTTTCTTTCTTTTAGCTTTTCAATCCAAAGTCTCCAAATTCCACCTGGTAGAGGTGAAAGGAGGCAGACAGAGGCTACCAAAGTTTACCAACCTCCTTGGACTCAGCAGAGAGACAAGGAAGGTCACTTACCCAAGGAAAATATTTCCCAGAGCAGCACACCGAAGGACCACACATCACTCTGGATTGTGTAGACTCTGTCAAAAATGGTTTCCGGGGCCATCCACTTCAGAGGCAGGCGAGCCTGGCACGGGACAAGGCAAAGAAGGGGACCCAGTTAGCGAATAACAGAAGGAAAAATGACAGGCTCACGCAGCACCGATTGCGATGAGGGCTTGGGTTCCACAAACTGATCGGTACACAGCGTTCATCTCTGAAACTTACATCTCCTTTTCTGACATAATCGGGGTCTTTATAGATATCCCGGGCCAAGCCAAAGTCACAGATTTTCACCACGTTCTTCTCTGACAAGAGGATATTCCGTGCTGCCAGGTCCCTGTGGATGCACTGCAAAGAGAAGCGTGTATGTGTCGGTGTCCTGCACAGCTGAGCCCTTCCACATCTGTCGTGATCTCACGTTTGGGGAAAAAAAAGTCCCACATCAGAAAACAAACTAATGGACAAGCACTGGGCTGGAATCTTTTATCAGCACTTCAGGGGAAAACAAAACAAAACAAAACAAAAAAGCCTCTGCACTTGATTGAGACACATCTGTTTATTCCATAAACAGTCCTGGTCTTTGCAATTAAATAATTGAGTTAGAGTATGATGACAGAGTCATAAATAGACTCCTCTAGGACCACAATTAAAATGTGTTTCTGGTCACATCCACACATCCCTTTCTGCCTGGTGCCATATATGGCAAACAGGAGGCTTCACAAAGGGATTTATTTTGAATGAACACACAGACTCCAGAAAGCAGGGTTCTCACAGGTGGGGGCCCCTCTGTTGTTCTGTCCCCATTCCATGTGGATCAGAGGCAGGGCTGGCCCTGACAACAATTCCCAGGGCGCTCCCCCGGTGTGCAAAGTGAGGGGCCGTCAGGAATGCTTCCTAAGGCAAGCTCAGGCCGCCAAGAGTCACACAGAGCCTGCAGCACGCTAGTCCAGCAGAGCTTGCCTTGGCGCTGCTTCAGTTCTCTTCGTCCTCAACTTTCTCCTTTTAGTTTTTTAGCCTCTCTCCTTTCTTGCTCTACGTCCCTATCTAACGCGCAAGGCCAGCTAAGGCAGCTCCAGCACCACGGTCTCAGGCAAGTTCCAAATGAATGAGAGACACAGCGCAGTAGTCCTCTTGGTATATGGGAGCCAGGCTTGCAAGCCCTCCTCCAGGGCTGGAATCCACACTGGATATTCCTCAAATGCCAGGGCTCATTGTTGAACTTGAAATTCTGTATTTTGCCCTTCCCAGGGGGAGACTTCCACCCACCCACCCCCAACCTCAGCGGTGTTTACAATCTTTGGAATATTTGTAACTTGTCACGTCCCCACCTCTGCCTTTGTTTGGCCTATTTTCTAATTTTAGCCCTCATCTGAAGCCTGTCCTTCCTGGTTTCTAATTATACTCCTCACAAATACTTTTGATGGAAGGTGATGAATGGAGAAGACATTAAAAATAGACTTTCGTACACCAAGAGGTGCGCGAATCCCAGAGGCTCTCTCTTCTCTTCTCAGCCCAAATGTCACATTTGTAGGAAAAGCTTCCTCACCTACCATGTGGGAAACTGAGGCACGTGAACACACACACACACACACACACACACACACACACACACACACACACGTACGAACTGGCTGCTGGGTGTCCGGTCCTACTTCATTCCCCCACACAGCCCACAGTCCCTGCTCCAACCTAACGCAGCTTGCTGGTTACACCGAATGAGAACACGAACCCCACCCTGGGGAGAGCTTTGTCTCTTTTCCCCAGCCTCCTCATGCTCTGAAGACTGTCCCACATTGGCAGTATCTATTACAAGAACTACATTCACAAAACCCTCTACACCTGCTACAGTTTGATTTTAACATATTTTATCCTCCCAGCCCCAATCACATACAGGAGATTAAACTCCTGTGACTTACACTAAATCATACTGAGATAGAAACTTAATCCAACTGCATAACTGGATTAGAATATAAGGGCAACAGCCCCCATGACTGAATGCTGATGGCTTTGAGTGACAGACACAGACAGATGTGTGATGTCATGAACCACCAAAGGTCAAACAAATGGGACCTCCCAGTCTTGCACTGTGATCCTCTAGCACCATGAACCGAAGTGGACATCTTTCCTTAACAAAGTCAGACTGCCTTGGACTTTCTCTTACAGTCACAAAGAGCTGGCTCCCACACCAATCACGTAATACCCTCCAGGAGCAGAAACATTGCCTTCCCAGGAATGCTCCTTCAAGAGCTCAGAAATGGTGACTGAGTGACCATTCCAAGCACCCAGCACTGGCAGGCACCAAGCACCTTCTTCCCCTGCCTGGGATGCCTCCTTGCCCCTGACCTGGCTTACCTTGCGAGATGCCAGGAACTCCATGCCACGGGCCACTTGGAAGCTGTAGCAGATGAGGTGCTCCAAGGTGAGGGAGTCCTTGTACAGACTTTCAGAAGCTGCGAGAAGAGGCCAGAAGGTGAGGATGAGCGTTCCCGGGTTAGAACAGCCTGGTCTACAGTGACAGTCACAAGCTGGGAGCTAACTTTCAGAAAGCAGAAGCAGTTGAAAAATGCCCCAGTCATTTGTAATCTGCTCAATTCCGGTAGAATCAACCCTCATCCCAGTCCCTAGAGAAAACATTGGTTTTCTTTATATTTTAGCCAAAGTTGAGCCAGTAAAATACAACAGGTAGAATGAAGGAGAAAATTAACAGGGATAACTTTTTCAAACTGGGGGCTTGAATTGTTGTTCCTGTTTTGTTTTATTTTTATCATGTAGCCAGTGGGACCAAAAACGGGTTCATATCACGAAGTCCAGAAACAAAAGACAACATTCAGGGTCAGGGGATCCTTTCCCTCCAGGTTCTGTCCTGGGACAGAGAGCAAAGGTCCAAGTGTAATCTACAGTGAATAACTAAATATACAGATATGCTTCTGTCACTCTCAGACTTAAAAGTGCTGTGAATACAACAGCCCTGGCCTGCTACAGTGCCTTTCCATTAAAGATGTGGATAAGAGATACCAGAACCCGGGCTGCAAGAGGAGGCTCCGTGCACCAGTATGATTGAGCTCAGTGCCACCAGCACAAGCAAATCCCAAAGACATGAATGGGTGTTGCAGAAAGAAACCCCAACCCTACTGGCCAAGACAAACCCAGCTCCTTGCCTGGGGACAAATCTCAGAGCTGACCACTGTTACCATAACAACCTGATGGATACTGAAAGGGTGGCAAGGTCTTTTCTCAATGAATTATTATGCTGATAGCAGAACAGCTGGCAAAGTCCCACCATCACCCTAAATGAAGAAATGGAGGCAAAACTCCAGGCCAATGCCCATTCTATTCCAACATGCCACCTTGGTCAGCACCTTAGGCTTTCTGTCTCCCTGCCACTGTTTTGCAATGGAGAAGGAGTGGGTGGTGTCAAGTCCACTCCAGTCAGGCCCAAGAGCCCGGAAAGCCCACTCATGCTCTCCGAGAACATGTCCCAGGCCCCTGCTCCTGCTCATCGCTCCAGGAAAAAAGCCAGAGCCAAGCTCACACCTGCAGCCTCGGGGGCCTGGGGGGAGAGGGGCTGGTAGACTGCTGAACTCCATGAGCACATGCTTTGCAGCTCGGGCTTCAGGAAGAGCCCAAAATCAGGAGTCTCAGGTCTACCGGTCTGGGCTGCCTCTGCTCCCTCCAAGGGATACTCTGGAGCTGGGTGAGTTCTGGACACCAGGATCCATGCCGAGACACAAAACCAGCACCAGAATCATAACTGAATACAGACCGAGATGCTCTCTGAGGCTACAAGCCTGGCCAAGCCACTTGGGGCCGGGGGTGAAACAACAGATGGCTCCAAGGATGATCGGGAAAGGTCAGCAGTAATGAATGGAAAGGCGGCTGCTGTGCCCAGAAGGAATGCAATGTGGCACCAACCATCCTGGACAGAGCACCCACTCTGCAACCAGAAAATAGCACTCTGCTTTTCTGCTAAGAAATACTCAGTCCATGTTTTGAAAGCATTGGCCTGGGTATTGCCAGCTGCTTAGCACACTTGGGCAGCATGGATACCATCCCAGGCTAGCCCTGACTGGCCCTCCTACCCAGCCTGCTGCTTAGCTGCAGCTTCCTCTCCCACCCTGGGCAGACCAAATGAAAGCAGTTTGGAACTCAGCTCCCCTAGGCTGTTTCCATGGATCAGTTCCTTGAGGGACCCCCTGTGCTGACTTTGCCGGAAGAAGCCCCAACAGCTACCTTCGTCTTCCTCCATGTCACTCAGGGACTTCTCCTCCACGAAGCCTGAGCTGGCTGAGCTCTGGCTGCTGGTGACGCTGTCCAAGCGGCGTTTCAGATCCACTGGGCTCTCCCCAACATAGTCCTTCCCGTGCCGGAATCGTGCACTTTTGGTCTACAAAGAAGCAAGCACATCAACAGACTCCTGGACCACACAGGTGAGCCCGAGGATGTGGTCAGCCATGGAGAGAGACAGCGAAGAGGAATTGAACAACAAAGCACCAGCTACAGCGCCATGCAGTCTATGGGTTCGACACTTGAGCAAATGTCTTCTGTGAAACTCCCATGTTCATCTAGAGATAAACACCCCCTTTTCAGGGTACACTCAGGCACCCTTCCAGTGTTAGGGTGTGCTTTATGGAGGAGTCTGGGGGCCAAATACAGCTGGGGGAGATGGAACAACCCAGTGCATTCTTCCCTCTGTCGCATCAACCTCCTCCCTCACTCCAGCACCACCCATCATGGTTCAAGTCCTGAAAATCAAGCACACCCCATCCCATCTCAAAAGTCTAAGAGTTATGACGGCTGAGGGGCAAGGTGAGGTCCCTTCCAGAATCACAGCTGCAAAAGATGAACCCGTCCCACCGGAGTGCCTCTACCACACAGGCCGTACCTTGTAGGGGACAAATTCATTTCTCTTGCCCCGTAAGTAAGTTGATAGGTTTCCATACTTGCAGAATTCCACAATCACCATGAGTGGCCCTGCAAAAGGCACGGCATGCCGAGAAAGGAAAATATGTTTTACTCATGTTTCTCACTGAAGGTATATGTAAGACATCAACCGACTTCCCTCCCCTCCTGCCCCCGCCAAAAAAATAAATAAATAAATAAAAATGCCTTCTGAGCATCAATGTATTTCACTGGGACAGGATCAGCGACATTGAGCCGTCCCAACCCCCTCTTCCTTTTTCCCAAAGGCAACTCCACAATAAGGTTAATCAAGAGCTCAAATGGAAGTCCATCCTCTTGCTTCAAGTGCAATTGCCTGAGACTTCCCAAGAGGGATGGGGTGGAAGGAAAGGTTACTCTTAAGGTGCTTCACTGTCAAGTTTGGGGGGAGCCTTCGTTCCTCACGAGCATCTGACAGACACAATCAAGCTATGTGCATTTCTTCCTGAAGCTGCAGTTTTGGTGTAATTTAGTCACGGTGCCTACTGCCTCTCCATGAAGTGGATTAACAGTGCATCTATGAATCTTCAGGGCATTCTGAGTGCAGGACTCCAAGGCCATGGGCGTTGGGCAGTCTCCCTCAAGAGCAGCCAGGAAGCATGGGTCAAAGTCAGCCAGTCACTCACCTCCTGGCTTGGTGCAGGCACCCAGCAGGTTAACCACATTGAGATGGTGGCCAATGTGAATGAGGATCTTGAGTTCAGACATGAGGGCTCGGTGTTCAGTGTGTGTTGCTCCTTCTACAAATACAGGACAAAGAGGGGAATTACACATACGGGCATGACCTAAGAAGGCTGGATCCCTCTCTATTGCAAGCAGCTGTGCAACCTGCCTTGCAACCTGAGTTACAGACTAGGGGAATTTCCTTAAAAGTCAAGCATAAGTTCCATGTTGCAATTAGACATCACAATCTTCCTTTAAGTGGTCCCAGAGTGGTTGCCATGTAAAGGGGTTCAGTGTGAAGCCTTTTGCCACTTAGTGAACACATCTGTACTGGAATCACACCAGATTCCCTGCTTTTGCCAAACTGGACTTTTATGCTTCAGGTGTGTCATGCTGGTTAGGGCCGATCATGTCGGAGCTTACCCCTAAGGAAGCAACACCCTGGATTAAATATCCTTGTGTGCCAGAAGTAATACTAACATTCTGGCACATCTGGGCCAAGCAGATAATTTAACAAGGTCCTCTGGCAAGGCTGGGTGACACCTGAGGCCGAGGGGGCTAACCTCACACACCTGCAGAAATTGCGCTGTTTTCCCCAGGTTTACCAGGCATGAGGGCAAACAGGCTGATGAGCCACTTCAAACAGCAGAATGGAGACAACAGAGACAAAGAAAAAGGAGAGAGCTCTCGAACACAGCAGACCTCTTGGCAAAGGGTCAGCAGCATCCTCTCCACCAGTGGAGGAATGCCACATGTGGGGCAAAAACCTCCCGTGCACCTTACAGACAGCAAGACCACCATTCTGCTGTCAGGAGCAGAAGCCACTTTCAATTTTTCAAGATCTATTGATTTTATTTGAAAGTCAGAGAGAAAGATTTTCCATCTACTGGTCCACTGCCTAAATAGCCACAACAGCCAAGCCCGGGACAGGCTAAAATCAGAAGTCAGGAAATCTCTCCTGGTCTCCAAGATGACTCCAATGTTGGGCCCTTTTCCACATCTTTCCCAGGAGCATGAGCAGGAAGCTGAGTTAGAAGCAGAGCTGCCAGGATTCAAACTGGCAACTCTGATATGAGATGTTGAGGTCGCAAGTGGTAGCATAACCCACTGAGCCACACCATCAGCCCTAATAATTTTTAATTTTTTTAAAGATCATTCATCATCCTCTCTTTTCCAGCACAATAAAACTTGCGTTGCAAAGTCTCTCTTATGCATACAAGCCTTTGACAATTTGAAATGTCAGAGAATATGATGTTTCTGAGTTTTGTGTTTACTTACAGCAAATTATTTTCCTTACTTCTAGATAGTTTCAAATTATCTCACACCATAATATTTTAATAAACAATTTTAATATAAAAAAGATACTCCCTTTCCCCTCTCCACACCATGCCCCATGCCATGACCAAGACCACAACTATACAAGCAGAGGCCTACACCAGGGCTCCCAGGCAGGTGGTGAGCTCTGTCTCCAGTGTGGCCCGCCAGGCTACACATCCAGGCCTGAGGCCAGAACGGGGGTTCCTCTGTGCATCTCGCATGAAGGCACTGCTCAGATTGCATGCACGTCCAGCTGGTACCCCCAGCAAACCACCAAGCCACTGACAGAGATGCATCACTACATAATTCTGCTTTTACCTTTCAACATTTTGACGGCCACCGTCTTGCAGGTTGCTGTCTTGTCAATTCCAAAAGCATCGGCTTCCATCACCTGGCCAAAGGCACCACGGCCAAGAGGCTTCCCTAGAGTCGAAAATAAGAGCAACACCATCATGGACGAAGGTCGCTTCAGCACCCACATCACCTGCCGGGATCTCAACTACATCCTTATACATCCAAGTTTATCATAAACAGTCACTCCCTTGACCTGGCTTAGTTACTGAACAACCCACTTTCACTTTGAAAAATATCTCCTTGGATGACTATGTAAGAACTCTACTTCTGAGTGTGTCTACACAGCTGATTACTCGACTGTAAGAAATGACATTGAGATTTCTAACCCAAAATTCAACAGCTGAAGAGCCTACGACTGTCATCATCCCAAGGGAGGAAGACTGACTCTGGAAACTCACATTAACCACCATGGTGAACGTACCTAACTTCAGCCGGTCCCTGGGAAATTCCCATTTGCTGGCATCGTAAGGCAGGCGCTCACAGTGCTCGTCCAAGGGCAGTTCATCTGGATCCATGACGATGGACAAGTAGCCCGTCTTCAGTTCCCCTCCATTGGCCTGGAAAGCAATTCAGCTCCCAATCACACATGCCTCGTTGTTGGGCTGTTGTTTTGCAGGCCTATTATTATTGTTTATGGGAGCCTCGTTCCTGAGGTCTTACTTCCCAACAAAACACATGGCCTCAAAGTGTCGTCCTATTATGGTCTTGTTTCCAGGGTTCCTCCACCCTGCCTCCAATAGACTCAGAATTAAGCTTTTAAAATCTTAATTATACTGGACATTCCAAGCGGTTTCCTCCCCTTTAACAGCTCCTATCAATTAAAGCCCAGTGGTGGAGCCAAAGAAAAGTGGGCAAGAATGTTATTGTATTGTAATCAAAATGTGCCCATTGAGTCAACAACAATGGGAAGAAACAATTCAAAGAACCCCAGTCAACTTGCATTAATCAGGAGAGGCAGCATGCAATGGACAGAAGGGCAGGGATTCTGTACCCGCTTCACGGTCCGCAGGACGATGACAAGGAGCAGCCAGAAGAACATGGCAATCACCGCCGTGCCAACGAGAATAATGACTTCCAAGTTGGTCTTTTCCTGGGCACCTGGGAAACACAATCGAATGGGCATCAAGTGTTGGAAATGCACCGCATTTGACCTAAAATGACAAAGCTCAATGCTAACCCAAGTGTTGAAATTTACCAGCTTGGAAAAGGCCCAGAGCACAATACCCACAGAGCCCTAACTCAGGTGGAGACTGCAGAATTTTCATGGGAAAGTGAGGAGCGTGTGAAGCATTGCTCATAAACACCTTCAACAAGAGAATCCAGAGGTAAATGAGGGGAGAACATTGTTATTGACGAGAGGAGAGGACAGCATCGCGGCACAGCAGATAAAGCCACATCCTGCAATATTGGAATCTCATACGGGTGCCAGTTCATGTCCCTCGTGCTCTAGTTCCAATCCAGCTCCCTGTTAGTGGCCTGGGAAAAACAGTAGAAGATGACCCAAGTGTTTAGGCTCCTTGCAGCCAAGTGCAAGACTGGGTGAAGCTACTGGCTCCCAGATAGGTCTGGTCTAGGCCTGGTCTATCCCTGACTATTGTGGTTATCTGAGAGTGAATCTGCAAGTGAAAATGCAAGACTCTCTCTCTCTCTGTCTAACTCTGCCTTTCAAATAAATATGTAAATCTTTGGAGGAAAAAGAAACACCACTGTCTTAAAACACAAACACAGAAAGTTGCTAAAAGAAAGAAAAGCAGACTTAGATGGAAAGAAAATACCCACATCTAAAAAGAGTTTATTACTTGAAGAGAATGAAAGTCCACCTTTTTTCCTGACTATTACATTCTAATCTGTGTAGCATCTGAAAAGCAACCATTAAAGAAATCAAGTAGCTGGGCCAGAGTTGGCTTGCAATACCAGCATCCCAGTTCAGAGTGTCAGCTCAAGTCCCAGCGGTTCCACTTTCAATCCAGCTCCCTGCTGATGTTCCTGGGGAAGGTAATGAAAGATCACCCACTCATGTGGGAGACCCGGATGAAATGTCTGACTCTTGTCTTTGGCCCAAACTGAATATTATGGAAATAGAGAGTGAACCAGAAAATGGGAGAGTCTCTCACTGCCTTTCAAATGAAAGAAAAATCTATAAAAAGATATCAAATAGAACAAGAAATCCTTCAAGTGCAGAAGTTCTCATGACCATGAAGCTACCATATACTCATCTCTTAAAACGCCCCATCTTACTTATTCTTCTCGACAACTTCAAATGAACAAAGAGAAAGCCAGAGAAATCTAGCTACTTGATCATGGGTAAGACCAGACAGCGGTCTGGTCAAGAGTTCAAGGTCTGTCCCACATGAACCACCGTAGCCACTGCCACAGTGCAGCATCCTGAGCAAGGCAAGGAGCTAAGCTGACCCCCGCAGCGCTGGCCTGGCTAGGGGTGTCTAAAACCACTGGAGTGAGGATAGAGAAGATGCTGGGGAGGAGAGGTGTTCGGGGAGCCAGAGGACCGCCTCTGAGAAGGGGAATTCCAGGAAGGAGCATGATTGACAAGGCGGTGAGAAGGGAGCAGTGGCTGCTACCGACTCCCATCAGAGGAGCACACAACAAGAGTTGAACCAGGCCACAATCTGGCAGCAGACAAAAGCAAGCTAGCTACAAACTACCACTTCACTGCTGAGAGACAAGAGCAAGTTACATGTGGAAGTGTAGATTCTGTGTCTTGCGAGCCTTGGGAAGTCCTCTTCTACTCAGAACTTCAACAGAAAGTAGAATGTTCAAAGATTCCTTGGCCCATCTAGGTTGTGCGTTAATATTTCCAGAAGAATACCTGGGAATCTAGCTGGAGTGCTAAATAGTTGCTTCTCCTGTTCTTGGAATCTTCCCCAAAGAGCAAGTCTCTGTGAGCTCGGTGCCAGGGCTCCAAAGCTGGGCACCCGCAGCAACAGCCAACAGTTTCCAGAGATAAGCAGCACACCGGAGAGAAGCTTGGTGTCTCCCTAACATTCGCCCAAAAGCACAACTCACTTTGGAAGCGATCAAACCACCATGTCTTTGGAAATGTCTCTTTGCAGGTGCAGCTAAGGAAACAGTAATGTGGCCACAGGTGGAGAGACATGTCAGTGTTTCCAGGGCAGCGCATGGTAATGCAGATTCAGCAGCTGACAGGGGCCAACATCTAGACTTGAAGTGACAAGGGAGGCTGAGTTCAGACAACTCCCAACCACCCTTCCATCCCAACTTCAGCCTCACAACCCAACTGGTGGGTTCTACAAAATGACACAGAAATCCACTTCTTGGGATAAAATATTCTGTCCCCTGTTGCTATCTGAGAAAGTGTCTGCTTTCCCATCACTCCTGCATATACACACCAGTTTTCTTTCAGATTGATGTCACAACCCAACATTGCCCATTTCAGAAAAGCAAGGGCCTATTGTTCATGAACGAATCTTAATTATCTTCAGTCCCATGAGAACTGCAAAGCTTTGAGAAGATCTGCATAGCTCTGACCTTCATGATGAGGCCACTGGTTTTCAAATAAATATAGAGGTGTCCTTTCTATAAAATAATTGGGGCATTCAAACCAAGACAGAATCAGGGAGAAGAGGGCCTGGCCTGGCTAAGAATTTTCTCACAGCAAGAATTTCAGGGGTAGGAAATATAATGCAAGCAAAATTGAGACAATGTTAAGTTTTTTGGTTAAAAGAATAAATAGTATTAAAGAAAACTTACAACATGAAGAATGAATAACCCTAATCTAAATCCCAACTGCTATAAAAACAGAAATTGTTTGAGTGTGGACACGACAGCCCACTGCAGAACGCAAGTGCAGGAGCTGGCTTTGTGGTACAGTGGCTCAAACCTCTGTTTGTTGCACAAGCATCCTATATCGGGGCACTGGTTCAAGGCCTGGCTGCTCCATTTCCAATCCAGATTTCTGACAATCACTTGGGGAAGGTACTTGGTCCCCCTATCACTCATATGGGAGACCAGGATGGAATGCCTGGCTCATGATTTCAGCCTGGTTCAGACCAGGTTGTCGTGTCCATATGGAGAGTAAACCAGCAGATGGAATATTGTTCATTCTCTCTATCTCTCTGTCTCACTCTCCCTCTTTTCTTCTCTATCCCAAGCAAACAAAACAAACTGTTTTCAAAAGAAAATGCAAGTGTGCTAAAAACAGTGCATATAATTACTTTAGGTTATATGTACAAAGTGTATCAGACATATAAACGCAGACTTGGGCCCAGCTCCAAGGCATCTAGTAGGCACGTGCAAGTATCTCAAAATTTTAAAACATCTCAAATCTGAAATGTGTCTGACCCCAAGAATTTTGGAGAAGGGATCCTCAATCTCCCAATGAAAGAACACCCAAAACACCCCAAGTGTGTGAGGCTGTGTAAGACAGAAGCCGCTGCGCCCATGAACTGCCACAGACCTTCAACGATGAAGAACACCTCTGCTTTCACACATCCAAGGATGCTGCACGCCTGGCAGGTGTAGAGGCCTTCGTCCTCCTTCCTCACTCTGCGGATGGTGAGATTCCGGTTCCCATCTTTCAACACGATGCCTACCACAGGAAGAAAGGAAGTATCCTGACATAAGATGACGTGGTCTGTGATCTTCTCCAGGAAAAAAATCTCAAAAGTGCACATGCTGCCTTTCTGATTCTGAAAGCCAATGCTGACTCAACCTCCATACAAATTCAGCCAGCACCTTCAGGATCTGGCCCCGAAGCTATGCCATGCGGCACACTGGGTTATCCTAAATCTGCTTTGGTCCCCCACCTTCAATCAAATCAAGAAACCATTTGGCATTTGGAAACCTCCCTGGGAAAAGCCTGCAGAGAACAGCAAAGTGCACACACCTGAGTCTTCCACAAGTGTCTCGTTATCTTTGAACCACGTGAACTGTGGAGGAGGATTCCCAGATGCTGTGCAGGAAACTTCAATGGTCTCGCCAATGCTTGTGGTCTGATTCTCTAGATTCCCGGTGATCACGGGTGCCATCCGCTCTGCACACGAGGAAAGAGCCACAGGACACGCAGTTAGCTGCAGCGTTTGGAACACAACAGACACCGGCCATGGTACATACCACCGGCCTCGGAGCAGAATACGATGAAGTGAGAGGACCATTCGGAGTTCTCGGTGTCTCTCACCAAAGACACCAGTGAGTCCAGCAAAAATCACACCACAAAGCCAGGAGGTCACCTCAACAGATCTTTTTCCTATAACCAGACAAGGCTTCCTAGGGGAAATCTGCCTTCTGTGAACATTCTAGAACCTTACCCTGCTCCTTTTGGAAAAGGATCAAACTTGGTTAAAATTCCCAAAACCAAGAATGCCTCCTAATTAACTTGGCAACTTTTGACAAAACTCGTCTATTTCTATGCGTGCTCACTACTCAAGTTATAAGACACACAGAATAGGGCTGTTAGTCTTATTTCACAAATGAAATAGCTGCAGTTTCTGGCAGTTAAACAGCTTGCCCAAGCACCAGTAACTAAGTCAGCAGGGGCACTAATAATAGAATCTAGTGAGCTGAAAAGACCAGTTCCCAGGTGCTGTCTCTAATAAAACACAAACAAACAAAACAACAACCATCCAGGATTGGCCCAGGATTTGGGGGGCATTTGTTGCAACACTAGAGAGTTTTTGGATAACTTATGTGTGCGGTTGAAAAGCCATGGAAACATCTTGTGCAAAGCAACTAAAGATCCTGACACTACAGGAGTCATCGCAGCCATTAGCAACAGATGACCTTCCCAGGGCACTGCATGAGGGACTGAAGTAAATGTCCTAAGAACAGAATTTAGGAAAACAACCACGGAGTCCTCGGGGAAGCAAGCCAGCTCACGGTGAGCATGCCCTCGCTGGGCACAGCAACACAGGAGCTTCTTTGCCTGTCTTTTGAACTCTCTGTGACTCTGGCATCAGCCCAGTCACCAAAGTCAACAGAGATTATGTGGTCATAGACGCAGCGTGACCGGAAAGCCCTGGGAAGGACATGACCCAGGAGCAGCCCTTCACTCAGCAGCTGGCTGTCACAACCAGCAACGTTGCATAGCGCCTGTGTGGGAACAGCCATGGAAGCAGGCCTATGCCTTGGGGCAAGATGCTATTGCTTGAAAACATTTGGTAAAAACAAGGTTCCCCAGGCAGTTCCCTTTCTGTACAATAAAGCACAGAAGAGAGATGCATCCTGGGAGTACCACCAGAAAGATAAGGAAAGAAGTGGAAAATGGGACAAAGAATGATTCCCAGATCTACTTGGTTTCCAACAGAAACAGACCTGGCTGCCCAGTTCGTGTACTAGGCACGTGCAAGTATCTCAGGTACAAAAGCTCAGTAGGGAATTTGTAAATTGCCTTCACATTGGAAAAGCATCCCAAGGCTTGGGCCACTTGAGACAGGACTCAGAAGGCCAGTGGAGGACTCTTCCAGATCCATCGTCACACCCCTCACACAGCAACGTCTCCTAGCATCTAGTCTGCACCACTTTGTCCTGTGGCTTGTGCTCTAGCAGAGAGCGAAGTAGACAATGAGCTCCCTTCTCATGGCCACAAAGCCCACACTACACTGTAACTACTGGCAGTCACCTCTTATCTCACCCTGTCCATCTCGTCCAACCCTGCAAATTTTTGGCACTCCTCCAGCTCACAGCATGCATTTCACAAGCAGGTGTCACCTTGAGTCAGCAAATGCCCAAGAATAAAGCAAAAAAAAAAGTTACACTGTCACAAACATTGGAAACATTCTGCTTCTCAGTGCTTTTTAATACATCATTTCATCATTATTAGCTTTTTTATATATAAGCCTGGAAGATTTTAAGTGCATAAGAGAAGGGTGTACCGATCTGCTTCGCAAGCTTTTTAAGACAATAAGCTTCACCCAGCACCTAATATCGTTACATTTAAAGCATTACGACAGACATGAACTGCAATCATACCTAAGACTAGAAGTTGCCTGACCACACATCGCCTCTTCTTGGTCTTCCTGTCTTGAGCAAAGCAGACGTAGTGGCCTTGGTCCTGCAGGGACACGTTCTGCAGCTCGGTGATGGCAATATCACTCGTGCCATTGGAGAACACGGTCGTGTTGAGCTTCACAAAGGTGTCCACGTGCTTGCAGATGGGCGAGGGCAGCTCCACGGTGTGGATGGGCAGAGCCTGGGGGCTGAGCCTGTACCAGGTGAAGTTCTCGAATGTGCTGCGGTCTGTGGAGCACCACAGAGACACACTCTCCTGCTCAGTTGGCTGTGGGCTCGGGTGTACAGTGATCTCAGGACCGCCTGTGACAGAAAGCCAAATGGTAGATGAGCTGCCCCAGGTACTCATTGCATCTCTATGTTGAACTTTAAAAAAAAGTTTCCGGAATTATTATTATTATTATCATCATCATCATTGGTAAAGCAGATCAGAATTACAGCGAAGGAGAGACAGAAAGAAAGATTTTCCATCTGCTGGTTCACTCCCCCAAATGGTTACAATGGCCAGAACTGCGCCAATCTGAAACCAGGAGCCAGGAGCTTCTTCTGGGTCTCCTATGCAGGTACAGGCTCCCAAGGCTTTGGGCTGTCTTCTACTGATTTCCCAGGCCACAGTCAGGGAGCTGGATGAAAAAGTGGGATAGCTGGACCACAAACCAGCATCCATATAGGTTCCTGACACTTACAGGGAGAGGTTTAGCCAACTGAGTCATCCTACCAGGCCCAGAAATGCAGGTTTTAAGATTAAAAGAAAGAAAGTGGACGGGGGTTGGAAGAGGGAGTTATGATGCAACAAGCTAAGCTGCTGCTTGCTACACCCACATGCCCTCTCAAAGCGCCAGTTCAAATCCTGGCCTCGCCTCTTCCCATCCAGCTTCCTGCTACTGAATCATGGCAGGCAGCAGAGGATGACTCAGGTGCTTGGGTGCATGCCTCCCAGGCTGGTGGGAGCATGTGAGCAGTGAGGCAGCGAGGGGAAGACTCTCCCTCTCTGTAAGTGTGCATGGGCGTTGGGCAGGGGAGGGCGGGGGGAGAGTATCAGTGTCTCTAGCTTTTAACTAGATGGAGAACAATGGACTAAATAAAATACCCCATGGCAGATTCAGATGACTCCTGACTTACTATGAAGCCTCTTGGGGGTCTTTAACTTCATGGTGGTATGAAAGAGTACCTGGGCAAACACGGTTCCTCACCTTCAGTACAAGGTCCAATCCATCACATGAGCTAGTCAACATCTTATTCTGAAATCGGCTATGACTTAGGTAATTCTGCCTGACTGTAGGCTGGTGCAAGTGTTTGGGGCATATCCAAGGCCGGCTGGGACAAGCTGTGGTGTTCTAATGGGTAGTGTTATTACAATGTATTTTCAATTTATGACGCTCTAAACTTAAGATGACGACATCTGGATGGAACCCCAGTGTAAGTCAAGGAGCTAATCATAATGTAGAATTTGAAAACTCAGTTCCCTGTTAGTGCATAACATTCAATGGCATGGAAGCTACACCACCGATTAGCACAAACTAAGTATTCCATCCAATACAGCTAGCTGAGGTTTAGCCATAAAACAAGAGGAACCTGCAACTAAGGTTTGCTGGTTTGCAAAATTAACAGTGGAAGGAGAGAGTTCTCCTGTATCATCTGTTTGCTTCCAGAAAATTAAACTGGCCTGCTGTTGTACAGCCAAGGGCACCAAGCTTTACCCATTCTCAGTTAGCCACACAGCATGCCAGATCCTCCCGACCAAGGCGCAAACACAAGCATGACACAGGTTGCAGCTTAACACACTCTCACCCCAGGGGAGGCGGTGGTAGCAGCATTTGGACGGTTGCATAAATGCATCAGCAACAATTCAATCCTTCTACCATGATGCCATTCCACTTACAACAGGAGCTGAGAGACCACCCTGGGAGGGATCCCACCCAGCTGGTGAGAAAGTGGTACTTACGTGTCACGTGGAAGGGGATGACCCTCTCCCCTCGCCCAGCTTTGTTGATGGCTTCACATTTGTACAACGCTGACACGTTTGCCGCTTGGATGATGAGGGTGCTCACGGTCTGCAAGAGAAACAAGCCCAGGTCACAAGCAGTGCAGGCTGGGCGTGCTCCAGGGCCCCCAGGTCACAAGCAGTGCAGGCTGGGTGTGCTCCAGGGCCCCCCAGGTCACAAGCAGTGCAGGCTGGGCGTGCTCCAGGGCCCCCCAGGTCACGAGCAGTGCAGGCTGGGTGTGCTCCAGGGCCCCCAGGTCACAAGCAGTGCAGGCTGGATGTGCTCCAGGGCCCCCCAGGTCACAAGCAGTGCAGGCTGGGTGTGCTCCAGGGCCCCCAGGTCACAAGCAGTGCAGGCTGGGCGTGCTCCAGGGCCCCCCAGGTCACAAGCAGTGCAGGCTGGATGTGCTCCAGGGCCCCCCAGGTCACAAGCAGTGCAGGCTGGATGTGCTCCAGGACCCCCCAGGTCACAAGCAGTGCAGGCTGGGCGTGCTCCAGGGCCCAGGTCACAAGCAGTGCAGGCTGGGCGTGCTCCAGGGCCCCCAGGTCACAAGGAGTGCAGGCTGGGCGTGCTCCAGGGCCCCCAGGTCACAAGCAGTGCAGGCTGGGCGTGCTCCAGGGCCCCCCAGGTCACAAGCAGTGCAGGCTGGGCGTGTTCTAGGGCCCCCCAGGTCACCTCCTGCAATCCCACCACCCCACCGGCCACAGACAGATCCTTGGAACTGCGATGATACTGGCATGTAGCTCATATGACACTCAACAGAGCATTTCTCTAGCCATGACAGCGATGATGTGTTTTAATCTAACACGACACACACTTCTCATTCTCGGGCTTGCAAAATCAGAACCCTTACAGCAGATGCACAGCTGCAGCGTGGCAGGGCTGCACGTGTCTGCTGAACCATCCACAAGTTAACAGTTCTGTTGAAACCAACTTGAGTCTTATCTCCCAGTCACATTCCCAACATACTTCCCAGACAAGGGAACTTCAAGAAGTTTGTGGAAAACACAATTTAAAAATACATTTATTTTAGCACCAAAATGTTTTTTAACTCCATGCCCAGTTTTTTTTAAATATGCATATAATTCATTTCCTGGAACTTCTGGAAGATCTCTTCTACCACTGTCCCATTCTCCCATCAAAGAGAAAGATGCCGAGAGAGATTTTTCGAGTTAAAGAACTTCCAACTCACTTTATTTTTCCCTTCAATTAGGGCAAACTGATTTTTGTTGACTTCAATTCTATTTCCTCCCTGGAAATCCTCCACATGCCGCCACTCTCTGCAGGTGTGCGGGTTTGTCGCTAAGGAAGAGGGGCTGAAAAGGAGCAAGGGAGAGCAGCATGTTAGCGTTTGGATTTTCTGATGTACTATTTAATAGCTTTCATATCAAACAGTTTTGCTAACATTTCACCACATTCACATCATACATACATACCCCATTCTTACACATAGATACCATACTTTTTTTTCTTAAAAACAAAGAGATTATAGCACAAAATAAGGATTCATGAGGATGATCATATTTGGGGGCAAAAAGGAAGCGTTGTCATGTCCACGGGAGGATTCAATACTAGAGTCAACCATACAGACACAACACAGACCTGGGCGACTGTGTTCTTAGAAACAGCTTCGAGGGCAGCCAGCCACGTCACAAGATGTGGCGCCAATTAAAAATAGGCCTGGGCAGAGCAGGGAAGGCTCAAGGCAGACTCAGGATACAAGAGGGAAGCGGCTATTTTGGGAACAGCCTCCATTCAAAATCACCAGGAGACAGGCAGACTCGTGTTCATTCAAAGGCAAGCAAGGCAAGGAAGCTTAGAAGTCATCGGGCGCCTCCAAGTAATTTCTCAGGACTGTGGCCTTTGTGTAGGAAATGGCCAGCACCTGAGGAAGAAGCTCGTTGTGGCCATTGCAAAAACAACAACAGGAAGTGGACTGCTGGCGGGGTTGGTGGACAGTTTGTTGTCCTGTTGTGTCCCACGAGGATGTCTGCACTTATGAGAGAGCTTGATAAACTGCCTGAGGCTCCAAGGGCTGGGCTCTAGCCACACCCGGAGCCCTTCCATGGGATTTCCTCGGAGAAGCAGCCCTACTCACTGACCAGGAAGAGCACTGCAATAGCGAACACTTCAGTGAAGAAAAAGCAAAGATTAAAAATCATCACGGTGCTGGTTCGAGTCCCAGCTGCTCCGCTTCTAATCCAGCTCCCCGCTGATGCTCCTGGGAAAGCAGCGGAAGTGGTCCAAGCGTTTGGAATGAAGAGCCATGCTCTGGCTTTGACCTGACCTAACCCTAACTGCAGTTGTTACAGACATTTGGGGGATGCACCAGCAGACGGAAGACCTCCGTCTCTCCCTCAGCTCTGCCTTTCAAATACCTAAAATAAATCTTCACAAAAACCAAAAATCATCAAATGGAGAAAATCAGTTGCTTTTGGAGAAGTGTACACAGGACTACCCCCAAAAACACAGCTAGCTACCCACCAAAGGTGGGTACAGCCCCGGACCAAAGTGGGGCAGCCCCAGACCACCAAAAACAGCTCTGAACAAGACACGAGTGAGAGAGAGGAAGTGTCAGGGGCACCACAAGGGTGGCCTTCCTGGCGTCCAACAGAGTCCTACCAGGCTGCATCACAGCACCTGCTCAGCAGCAGGAAACAGCACGTGGCCACGTACCTGGCCAGGTCGGAGCACTCCTCCTCCAGCTGCCAGTACCAGCGGATGTGGTGCGGCGGAGGGAGGGCATAGATGGTGCAGGTGAGTGTCTGCGAGGTGCCATACTGGTAGGAGTCCACGGGCGAGATCAGAGACTTCTCCCCAATCTGCGGCGGCACTGCAGATGGGAAACACAACTCCTGAATGACGACAGTGGAGGGAGGGCTTGGCGACTCAAGCAGCCTTCTCTAAGCACTCAAGTTTTGGTTTTTAACTTTCTCACGTTTTACTCAGCCTGCAATGTATTTGTGTCCTTTTCTTTATAGGAACCAGTGTGACATTTTAAGACATGTAGATGGCAGGATAGAGTTTTGTGAACTCTAGTCCCCCCGCTGTGCTGGGGAGCTTCGGCACTTAACATCTTCTAGAATTTTGTGTCTGCTTTCTAGAACAGGAACTCTGAGACGAAGGGACACAAAAAGACAGCAGCAAGCCATGGCTAAGATGGGACTCCTCGAGTCGTGCCACCTTGCCTCGGTGTTTCTACCTTGCAGATGTGCTTCTCCCTGCTGTTCCAGGCAAGATGGCTGCAAATCTACGGCAAGGACACGGCTGGACCAGCACGCTGCTGCGTGTACGGGGGAGTCCAGCCAGAGAGATGCCAAACGCTTTACATCTATTCATTCACTTAATCCTCGCAACCAGTTACCGTCCCCTTCGTACGAGTGAGAAACATGAAAACAGAAACGCCACAGGGCCTGCCTGGTACCAAAAGATAGATACCAGATAACAAGTAGCAAGCCATGGGACAGACATGAGAACCCAAGCCCTCAAATCCCTAGAACACTATGGCTATGGTCAAGCCACGACTCTGCCCCCCTCCCTTGCTCTTTCCCTCTTCTCCTCCTTCCTTCCTTCCCTTTTCCAATCTTTCTTCTTTCCTGTCCCTGCCCACCGCATGTCCCAGGTTGCACTTTCATAACCCGACTCCTGTTCTCTGCGTCTTTCCTAGAGCAGGGTCAATGCTAGGTGAATCAGATGTGTGGGGACTTCACAAATGAATGAAATGAGGGCTAATTTCCTGCCCACATTTCCTTCCTTATTCCTCAATGTCCCGGTGTCTTTCTCTTCTTCAACCCCTGCACCCTCGCTGCACCTAAGCATCTGTTCAGAACACATGATAATAAAACTCAGCACAGGGGGCAGGGGGAAGGAGGGGTGCCAAGTTTCACGAAATGTCAAGGAGTAGGGGCTACAAGGCCCTGGGTGTCAGTGTTGCAAGAGAATATCCAGACGTTTGACTGAGGCAGCGCAGAAGCATTAAACTATGTTCAGAGCGAGACATCCCTGGATTTGCTCCGAGGGAGAAAGTGCTCTGGCAAGATGAGGCTTGTTAAATCCTGTGTTCTGCATGCCTGCTGACCGGCAATGTACGTTAGCATCTGTACAAAGCTTCCAAGAAGTTTTGCAATAAGGAAATGTATTGCACATCCCCACAAGCATGTGCCACATGCACTGGATCATTGCACCATTCTTTCCCCTATATCAACCTCTTTTATATGCCTTTCCATTTGGGAAAACCAATCACCCTTATATCAAAAACCTACTATCTTCCCTCCAGCTCAGAGTCAATCGCTGGACTCCTAAATGAGAAAGTTTCCAAGCAAGCCCGAAAACCCTCTGAGTTGGAACCTGCCCCATGCCTTACTGAAGCATCAACCACAGCTTTGAACTTCAAGGAGACAAGCCCCACACATCTGTGGGCCAGGCGTGCAGCTCCACGAGACGGGAGCACAGCTCCTGTGGCCCTGGGCTGACCACTGTCCCTGGAGGCATTCTGGTTTTCACAGCATTTGGCCATCGAGTGAAGCAGCTGTTTTCATCTTGTACTTAGCCACCACACAGTTCATGGGCATGGCAGCTGGAGCAAAAGTACGGCTCTGGAGAACATGCTGTCCCACATCTCATTTCAAATCCATCGCCCCGTTCATTTCTATACACATTTGTGTGGGTGATGCAGCAGGGCATGAAGGAGTGGCTTAGTGGGTGTGGAAGGACAAAACCAGGTGGAGCCAAACATGGACAGAGAGAACTGAGTTGACTCACCGTTCACAACCAAAGACACCACGTGGCTCTGCCTCTCCCCCGTGATGGGGTTGGTGAGGATGATGGTGTAATTCCCAGTGTCTTTTTCGCTCGCTTCCATGATGGTCAGCACATGTCCCACCTTAATTGTATGGTTGGACTCCAGGAGTCTTCCATTTTTATACCTGTGATAAAAAAAAAAAAACAGCATTTAGTGTGGACAGAAGGATTTTTTTCATGAGAAACAACCCTTTTCATCTCTTTCCCACACTGACCATTTGATCTCAGGAGATGGGTAGCTGATGTATTTCACAGGAATCCGTACTCGCTCTCCCACCGTGACTTCCACCAGAGATTCCATGCCACTCCCAAAAGCAACAAAAGGCTTTTCTGGAAGAAAACAGAAGTCATCATTGTCAAGACTGTCAGCATATGGGGAGGAGTGCCTGCTGTGGTGATTAAGGGTAGAGAGTAGGTAAGATTGTGGGATTCCCCACCTTCTCCTTGCCGAGGTCACATGCCAGTAACTCCATCCACGTCCCCTGTCTTGGTATACCCTTTTATCCTGTCCCAGTGCACACCCCTGCAAGCCTGCTGGTTGCTTGGAACTCAGTTCTAGCACTTTCTCCTCTCGATACCTTTAAGTCCTCCTGTGGTACCCCATCTACCTTGCTCCCTTGACACTCCCTACACACCACCCTCCTCATACCACTTGTTGATGCGCCACAAGACCACCCTCAGGACTCTCTAACCATCCTCCAACCTCAGAGCTAGATGACCATTTGTGTATCTCCTGATTCTCTAGCTCCTGCCTGATTTCTCTAGGTTCTAGGTTTACACACTGAAGCCCCACTTGTGTGTCTAGTCAGGAAATCACCCAAGATGGCCTCCCCAAATCCCACTCTCCTCTCCCCCCGTCCCACCAATCTTCCCTCTCCCAGTCAATCCTACCACCAAGCTCAGAGTCGTCTGCCTCTATTTTCCCTATTTTCCTTTTGTACCTGCAGCCAATGAACCATCCAGCAGGTCTTGGGGGCATGTTCTTCTAAATTCATTCAGAAAATATCACTTGTCACTAGCTGCACCTCTGCCCCCTCTGTACCTTGCAGTTCAGTCATTGCCATTAGCCTCCTGGCTCCTGGCCTAGGTGTGCCCTTACCTGCCTGAAGCAGTCCCTACAGCAGAGCAACCTATAAAAACCAAGCTAGGACACCTCTCTCTCTTGTTCATTCATGCCCTTTTATAAAATCCAGAATCATAACCAAAGCTTCTAAGTAGGTTGCCATATAAAACACCATGAGCATTGAGAAATGACCTTGAATGGAAAAGAATGAATGAATAACGAAGTCACTCAAGATGCCACAAAGAGTAGTGGAATTCTACTTTCTCCAATTTGCAGAGCTTACGATTACTCAAGCATACCTCTCAGGCTTGTGGGAAATTAGTACAAATGCCTTGGATTACCATGGTAATAATGCTAACAGCAGCGACAAGTGTGACAATATTTAGGGTGCATTTACTAGGTTAACTTATCTTGTGTCTAAAGTGTGCCTCTGAAACCAAGTCCCTGACTCCATGGCTATGCTCCTGACCTCCACACCCTGTGGCCTCTCTGCTAAAAGCTCAAACATCTCTTCTGAATGACCCAAACAGGAGCAGGATGAGAGGACATTTGGCCCACACTCGTACCAGAGTATTTGGGGTTGTATCCTGGCTCCACTCCCAGACCTAGCTTCCTGCTCCAGTACTCGCTAGGAAGCAGCAGGTGAAGGCTCCATTAGCTGTGCCCTGCCACCCACATAGGACACCTGGCTCTTGCTTTAGCCTGGCTCAGCCCTGGCTGTCGCAAATGAGAACCCATACATTCTCTCTCACTAGTCAACTCTAACTTACTTAAATTCTCCCAGCAGAGCCATATCCCCAAGGGGACTGTGCCTTACCATGGACCCTGACGAAAGTGCGATTCCTCTTGGTCATCAGCCCACTGGACGCTGCACAGGTATACCAGCCTTGGTCACTCCGCGTTACACTCTCAATCGTCAGCACACTCAAAAACTTCTTCATCTCATTCCCAGACTGCGTTTTTAGGTCCCGGTTTACAGGTTTCTTATGCTGATGCCAAAAAAAGGGCGGGGAGGAGTTGATACAATTGCCAAATTGCCAAAGTCCAGCATAACAGGACCTGGTAGCTTCTCGAGACCCAGAAGACCAAGTCTTCACCATCAGCAAACACTAATCAGGGACTTTCAGCATTAAACTACAAATAGATTTGGCTTCAGGAGACTCCAATGGAACCAACCATTTCATAAACCTTAAGGAGCAGGAATGAGATGGATGTAAACAGCAGAAGGACAAGCAGATATGACCTTGATTTAAAAGGAGCTGTGTCATGTCAGATCTTAAGAAGTTCTCTTAAAGGGGAAATGGACCAAATACTTTGGAGGACAATGGGTTATGCCACCTCCTATGATGTCAGCATCCCATGAGTGCAGATTCAAATACTGCCTGCTCCACTTTCAGTCCAAATCCCTGCTAACGTACCTTGGAAAGCAGAGGGAAATAGCCCAAATGCTTGGACCCTTAAAACCCCTTGGGGGGGCCCAGATCGAAGTCCAAGTGCCTGGTTTAACCCTGGCCCAGTCCCAACCATTGTAACCATTTGGAAAGTGAATCAGTATATGGAAGATCTCTCTCTCGCTTGCTCGCTCACTCACTTTTTTACTTTCTCTGTAACACTGCTTTTCAAATAAATAAGATTAGGGTGAAAAATCTTCAGAGGGCAAACAGCTCAACATGGAAAGATGCAATTGTAACAGAAAACCAACACTCATGGGCTGCTTGGAGCAGTGACGGGCAGATCTTCTTGCTGATTAACATTGAATGCAATTCTTTTTAAGCGAGTGCATATATGAGTATGTGTGTGATGAGGTCCTTACATTTCATCTGGCCAGAGAACCCCTCACTCCAGAAAACTTGGTTGAGCTTATTATCAAAGCCGACAGGGATCTGTTTTGAAATGCCAGTGTTACCTTCGGAGAAGGGTATTCCCAGTTGAAGTCCAGTCCCACGTTGAGCTCGGTTCTCGCTGTACAATTTAAGACAAGCTTCTGCCCCACAGATAGCTCCACTTCGTGAGCGGGGCTCATCACCACATCATATATCCTGTACCCTAAAGCAGAGTTGGGTGGGGGGACACACAGTGAGAGGCAATGCAAGCCTATAGCTTGGCACAGTTATTTTTTAATAATGCAGCTTTTTAAATTTCCACTCCATTTTCCCTCCAAAGGTTTCATAAATATTTGGGAGCCTCTGGGAAAGGGCCCTATAGATTTACAAAGCAGTGCTTCCAAGGTCCCAGTGCACTGGCAAAGAAGGAAGCTCTGAGTGGTCAGGAGACTGGAACTTTCCACAGAACAGATCCGAATGAGAGACACTGATGCCAAGCCGTGGTCATGCCACTGAACTGCTCACACACTCAAGTGAGAACATTGCTTTTTCCACCTTGCCCTTAGCAAGGAAGGAGAAAACCTCAGGAGCAAATGAAGAGATGAATTTGTGTAATGGCTTGCCCAAAAAGCATGTCCTGAGTTCATACTTCTGTTTTAATATTCCGTGTCCCTGACCCTCTGTCTTCATAGCCAGCATCTTAGCACAGGATTTCGCACTGAACTGTCCAGTGTTCGCAATATGCCAAGGCGAGGTCGTCTTACCTACAACCACAACTATGTACATGATTGACTGGTAAGTCTCGTCGTGAATTTTGGCCTCACAGAAGACCATGCCAGCGTAGCTGATCATGTGGCTGGGGATGGTGAAACCCGTCCTGCTGTCCCAGGAAATTCTGTTGCCATCAGGAACAAACCTCTTTTCTGGATACCTCTGGGAAATTAAAAACAAAAGTAGAAAATATGTAATACAGGACTGTCCACAAGGGAACCTATGTCTGATAATCACTGAAGAACTCATCTTACTAGCAACTGGTTTTATTCATAGTCGTTTTAACCCTTTCTAGAGATTCTTTTAAAACTCACTGTGGATATTACATTATAAATAGACTGTTCATCTTAAGATTACCTCACAATTATAAAACATAGGGCTAGCATTGTGATGCAACAGGTAAAGCCACCATCTACAGTGCTGGCATCCCATCTGGGCACCAGTTTGAGTCCCAGCTGCTCCATTTCAGATCCAGCTTGTTGCTAATGTACCTGGGAAGGCAATGGAAGATGGGCCAAGTGCCAGCTCTCTACCACCCACGTGGAAGACCCAGAAAAAGCACCTGACACCTGGCCCAGCTCCAGCCATTATGACTATCTGGAAAGGAGAATCTCTCTCTCTCTCTCTCTCTTGGCCTTTCTGTAACCGTGCCTTTAAGATAAACAAAACAAATCTTTTTTCAAAAAATGTAAAACCTAAAGGTGATTGAACATGGAACTTACAGCACAAAGTGACACGTTCAGGTTTGAAACGGATCCCAGGCATGGAACCACCACAGTCTTGTTCTCAGTAATGTACACAACTCCGTGTTGGTCACCAACAGAAGCAATAAACGGAGATCTGTAATCTACAAGGAAAATTAATCCCATCAGTAAATCGATATTGTTTCTAGAAAAACTGGTCAGCTTTCAGGTGCATAAGTTCTTGCTAAAGAAGTGATTAGAAATTACACCTCATCCAGACAAGGCGGTCCCAGGTTCATCTTCCGGTAGCCATCTGACACTGTGTGTGTATAAAATGAGAAAGACAACTTCCAGAATGAGGCGAATTCCTTTTGTTAGACCCTTCATCAAATAAAACGCATTTTATTGACATCACATTTTAACAGTCTGTAAAACTCTTTTTGAAAATAAAATGCATTTCCTTTCAAATTTCAAATTAAATCTGTAGACTTGACCCGCAACTTCTGCTAACATTACAAAGCTAATTTTCAATCTTCAGATGAATAGCATAAATATTATAAAATAAGTGAATGACCACCAAAGATCTTGAACAGAAAACAATTCAACGTTTAGGTTTGACCTAGTTATACAAGAGACTACCGAGTGGATGGTTGGAGAATTCTGAGGACTCCTGGAAGATGCTCCCCAAAACAAGTGATGTTCCTGACATAGCCACTGCATCTAGTCTAAGGCTCAACAGTCAATAAGACCTCGAACAACATTTGGAATGCCACCATGCAAAAAGCTGAGAAGAAAACTGAAGGGATGCCACAGTTGTTCCAATGCTATTCACGTGTTGGGGAGTGGCCAGGGCGTCCCTTCTTCCCTAGATGGAGATGACATGGGCGGAGATGCACTGGAAATCTCAGCACGCCTGCCCAAGCCAGCGTTTTCAGAGCACTGGGTGATGTCTGTGCCAGAGAAAGAGTTAATTCAAGCCAAGGGGACAGAGACGCCTAACACCCTTGCAGCAGCCCTAGTCTTCCTTCCTTCCCAGCTGGAAAACTCAGAAACACAGTCAATCAAGTTCCCCACATGCCTCAGCCATTATCTTGGGAGGCCAGCACTCACTTCCTGGCTCCAGCCACGGCTGGAGGGAATGGAGTCAGAAGACGGAGGAAATAAGGTGGGGAGCGGAAGGGACATGAAAGGCTTATCCGGGGGGAACACTGCAGTGTTTGCGTTCCCACTGTTAGCCTTGGTGGCCAAAATCTCGGAGAGCTCTCCTCCTAGAACACTAGGCTTACACAAGAAGCAGGACTTTACGGTATGCCAATGACAGGTACTACACAAACAGTACTGGAGGATGCCACTACTTAACTCTGCCTACCGCTCACCCTTGTGGTATGAAATATGACATAACTTGTTTACAGGGCAAGCCCCAGGATGCTGAATTAATTCTTTGACATAATACTAAAGCTATTCCATAAACCAAATTCTATTTCAGTACTCCTTCCCCCCTGAAAAAAAGCAAATAATAAAAACAACAACCACCCATCCTCTCAAAATCAAATATTTATTGTAACTTGTGGAATGGATTTTTGCTTGTCTCCAGGTTTCCTGAGTTGGGGAGAAGGAAATACGGGGATAGGGTGGGAGAGGCTGAGCCTGTTGCATTTCCAGACAGGCTGCAAGCCGGAAATCCTTGCAAGCTTCCAAGACAGCCTCATCCCCGGGGCTGCTAGATCAAAAGGAGCAAGAAATACTGCAAGATTCCAGCCTCGCCTCTCTAGAATCCTGCAGCGGAGTGGGGAGGCACCGAAGGTTCTGTGAGACTGTTTTTACCCAAGGCAAAACCTAAAACCCGGTCCCCAGCACTGTGCAAGACAGTAGTGAGAGAGGCTGTTCCGACGTGCTCGCCACTATTCTGCTGCCTGGCCCTGCCCATCAGGTGCACTTAGTGGGGACACGCAAGGATGTTGCTCGAAGCTGATGATGCGCTTGTCCTGCAAAAAATAAAATGCTCCTGACCAGGAAACCCTCCAAATCCTCTTCATTTGCTTCAAATCCTCTGGGACACAAAGAAACATAAATGCCACGTCTTTTATAAGTCCATCTCCAAGGCAAATAAGATGCAAAGCTTGCATGCCCTCATACGATACGGTATTGTTGGCATCTCAATTAAGCTGGGTTCTCCTAGGAAAGCTGAGATAGCATAAGCATCCATGAACCCCAAATGTGCACAGCACTGTTGTGCTACAAGGATGATGAAGGTGTCCTCCTTGGTATCATGCCCAACGTTCAAACTCAGTTAGACCATGTAAAGGAAGGAAGGACACGATGTCACCAATGGACCTTGGAAGCAGTCTGAATCTAGCTACACACGACAGGGATGGTCGCTTCCACACAACCAGAGTAGGAAAAGAAGAATTCCTACACAGAGCAGAACTCCAGGCCCCGCGGCACTTTCCCTCTGCATTCCTGGGAACATCTTCTGGGTTGTAGATAACCTATCTTGCCACAGAAACCTCCCCATAATTCACCTCCAAATCTGCCTTGAGCTCAAAGATCTCCAGCTCATTGCAAATACCAGAAGGCTCCTTACAGGCCTCTGCAGCCAAAGGTGAATGCAGCTTTCCCCCAGCAACCAAGATCAGAATCAAACAAGTCGGACGAAAGTGAAGCAACGTGACCCGTGCTCCACAGCTCACCCATGAGTCACTTCTCGGGGGAAGCCACGGAGAGGATGAGTTTTGTAAACTCCGCCTGACCAACAGCCTCCGTGCCAGACTTCCGTTGGCTTCAATTCTGCTCCACACCTTTTGTGGTTTCTCACCCAAAAACCCATGTGGGAAATGCACACTGGTTCCCCACTTACCCTGGACGTAGACGTAGACAGTGGAGGCCACTTTGGTGTCCTGGTAGAAGCACTGGTAAGCTCCGGTGTCGTTTCCAATCACTCTGGGAATTGTGAGTGTCTTACAGAACAAGCCGTCACTGCACTCCATCACCTCCACCCGTCCCTCAGAGGCGCTCTGGTTGTTGGGCCAGACCCAGTCCAGCTCCCTCTGTCCTCTGAAACAATCAGCCAGGCAGCTGTTAGTGGGAAGCGCTGCACTATGAGGCTGTCTCTAAGAAAACAGAGTTTGAATCTCCAACTCCTCAAAGTCAAAGCCATCAGGCCTTCAACGCATGCTGGCAGCTTAGATCATGAACAAAAATAAATAAATACACAGATAAATCACACATTTTCCATGTCAGAAACCACTTCACCACTTAGAGAGTTTCTAAACATACTCATTAATCCACACATTCATTGCCTGACCAAGCACCTGCTGTGTGCCAAGCATTTTTAAGGACTTGGGGATACAGCAGTAGACAAGTCAAACAAAAACCAGTGCCTTTAGGGGATCTTAATCCAGTTGGAGGACAGACAATCAAAAAGTACTCCAGGTGGTCATTAGGACTGTGGAGCAAAACAGAGAAGATGCAAAGAGCAAAGCGATCTGGAGGAAGGGGCTTGATGAAGGTGGCTATGTGAGCCTTGGGGTCACAGGACTCCTACAGGGGAACAGCATACACAAAAGCCTTTGCACAGGAGCACACCTGGGGGGATTAGGACTAGCAAGGAAGCCAGGGGAAGCAGCTGAGAGGGAGATCACGGCAGAGTAAGAGGTACAGTCGGGAAGAAAAGAAGTGGGGACCACAAGCCTTACAGGATCTTGCAAGGATCCCTTCAGATACAGACAACTTCCACCCACCATTACACCCGTAGGTCCCAGGGAGCAGTCAGTACCAACCAGACCTTCTTGTCAAGAGTGAAGTGGCAACTATGTGAACGCATTTCATGGCTTCTTCAGAACATAGGGAAGGTCTACGCAGAACAGCACATAGAAGAACCACTGGGGATCTTTGATAACAATTGTTTGCAAAGGTAACAAAGAGGATGTCTCCTAGAGTGTGCCTTGAATTAGCCACACTATGGAAATAGCACCTGCACAGAATCCTTTCTCAAGGGCTAGGGATGGGCAACTGGCCCTTGACAAGGGTCAGAGAGTAACCTTGTGCACTCTGCAACTGGCAGTAGATCTGCGTCATTCTGCTGAGCGTTAGGTATTTAGCAAGTGTGACGCCAGAGCAGTCAGCTGTCCTTGGTTGATGCTTGCCCCCACCACTCTTCTTGAAGGGCATGACCTCTTCTCATCACAGTCTCTGCCCCCAGGAAGCCAAGAGTCTTCCTGAATTACACACCAAAGTCTTCCTGGTTGCGCAGAGTTGGGAAGATAAAAACTAAAGACCCCTAGTTCTCATCCAAGACACGTCTTCCCACTCATCAAAACCATGAAGATGACTTGTAACTGACATACGAAGACACATGCAACCCATGTCATTCTGCCCTTGGGTAGAATATTCTGTCAAATGGCTGGCTACCTAGTCAACTGCTACAAGTACAGTAAAAATTTTATCATACAGTATGTTGTTACAGGTTATATATATATAAAACCATAATGGTACATGTCTTCAACTTGATTTATTTATTGAGTGATTATCACATACTAAGTACTCTATTGGTTTAGAAGCACGCATGTGTGTGTACATATTTGCACCTGTGTGTGTGTGTGTGTGTGTGTGTGTGTGTGCAGAGTAACTCAAAAAGATACCCACCAATAGTAGAGAATGTTTGAGAGGAAACTTTTCTCATTTTTCTCATGATGACATCAGTTCTTAGACACCCCCCTCGCTGGGAACAATGGCTACAACTTCATTAGATTCTGTTGTCATGAAAATGATTTTCCCTCTAAAAGCAAGGAACTATTTCACACACAGAAAATATCCATCTACAATGAATCCTTACCTGCAAGTAATTCGGAGAGTTGAATTAGCCATAATTGTAAGTATGTCTTTCTGTATGCTAAGAGTGGGTGATTCGGGTGAGACACTGGGAAAACCTGGAGACAAAGAAATGAATGTCATGCCCACTGAGTTGGACCTGTTAGGAAACACCTTCCAGAGACAATGCACGCTCGGGTTGAAAAGGCCTCTGCACCACGCATTGTATAAAAATGCGAATTTGCTTTTCACCATTCCCAGTAAAAGTTCACAAGCTGTGTCATAACAGGAAGAATGGGCAGATGGTCATTAATGAACACAACAGTTCTGCAATTCATGGAGCTGGGGTGGAGTTCCTGTTTTCCTGCACTGCCAACTTCAAGGTCTTACAAGAGGATATGGGACATTGAAACCAAATGAACCTTCAGCTGATGATCTCACTCCCTGGGAAAGGACCCACTGACACTTCTTATAAAGCATAGGATGTCCACATTTGCTTAAATTGCTGATTAATGCATACTGCCCAGGGAGATCGCTCCACTGGTCCTGAAGCTGGGGGAGGGGTGTATGCCTTGTCTCCTGTTTCTTCCCTGATTTTCTGGCACACTTGCTCTCTAACCGCTGTGTCAAGGCAGAAATAACAGCACCTAAAGACCGTGTCTTGAAACTGGAGAGAGGGGTTGAGGAAGAGGAGGCATCTTCCAGGTTCATACATGCAAGCATGTGTATTAACATACTTTTTCTCAGCAGGGCTAAAATACGATGCTGATGAATGACCATTGGGAGCTCTCAACTTACTTATCAAAGCTCAGAGCCTAACCTGACAGCTGGCTTGGAAGAAGAAGCTGGTTCTTCACCTAAACTCTTAAAGAAACAGGAAAACGTCACGGGACAGACTCTTCATCATTTGTCCTGGACTACCACGTGTTAAAAACACATCCAAGAAAGAAAACCTATCCATCAAAATAGAGTTCTTAACAGACATCAAGATCCGCAAGGTAATAGCTTAAACAGTGAGGTAGACATCTGGAATGGCCAAGAGACAGATTGAGAGCAACACTTTGGAAGTATGGTTGTGGCACAGCAACCTCAATCACCAGCTGCAATGCTGGCATCCCATATTAATGCTGCTTCATGCCCAGCTGAATCCACTTCCCATCCCACTTTCTGCTACTGGCCGGGGAAAGCAGTAGAAGATGGTCCAAGGGTCTGAGCCCCTGCTATCCTTGTGGGAGACCTGGAAGAAGCTGCTGCTTCTGGTTTCCATCTCACCTAGACATAATCATCACAGCTTTCTGGAGTAAGCACCCATGGATGAAAGGTCTTTATTTCTCCATCTCTGTAACCTTGACTTCAAATAAATAAGTCTTGAGAAAAAAAAAACTCCACATCCCATGTTAGAGATTTAATGCCTGCAGCTTTCAGCTAACACAGATGGTAGCAGACAAAAAAAAAGAGGCTCATGCCATTAGATTCCTGCCATTCATGAAGCAAACCTGGATTAAGTTCCTAGTTCCCAGCTTCAGCGCTGGCCAAGACCTGATTATCACAAGCGTTTGCGGCATGAATGAGCAGCTAGGGTTGGTTCTACGTTTCCATCTCCATCTCTGTCCCTATCCCTCTTATCTCAAATATATAAACAGTAAAGAAATTTTAAGTAATCACCCAAGCTTTCCAACTCGCACCATCTAAGAACAAATGACTCCTGAGGTCTAAACTAGCATTGACCTTGATGTGCCAATAAGAGGGTATGAGCAAATCTGAGCCAGTATGAATAAAGGGACTGCAAGCAACTATCCAGTGCGAATGCCCAGGGTAATGAGTCCCTGCACCCCAGCACGCACAGCGACAACTGACTGCACGTGGCTCGCACACCCACAGATGTGCAAAATCAGCTGCCGTAACCGGAGATTCGTTGATTGGTCAAATCACTCTAAAAAATCACTTGGAAGTTGAAATGACATCAAGAAATCTCAGAAACCAGTTGACACTGGTACTGACTGGCTGTTCTCAGAGTAGCGGGTCTTGAGCCTTATCCTCCACCCCCACCCCAGGTCCACACATTCACACTCTCACAGGAGTTCCCGGGAACTATCAGAGAAAGCTCACACACGCGCACACACGGCTCTGGGTCTTGGCAGCCAATCACACTTAATTAATTAGCATACCACTTTCGATTATGAAGAAAGTGACTGTCTCCAAAGCAGAAAACAACAGCAACAAAAACATGAAAGAAAAGCCTTCCCTTTGCTGTAGACAAGGGAAAAAATGGCAACAATTCCAGTGAATGGACACAGATTTCTAATCCAACTGAGAAACTCTAGGTCGAGGGACATGCTGAAAACAATAATTTACTGCGACTCACAGTCTGTGCAAGAAGGATTTTTTCTTTAAGCATGCTGCTGTGCGAGTTGCAGGAGTGGGCTATATACACACCCCAACACCAAGAGGGGAACCCTTGAAAGTCTCCCATAAATCAATAGTACAGCTTATCTCACACTCTAGACACATTAGCTATGCAAAAATAAAAATGAAGCAATGTCCTCTATTCACGGGAAGCCAGGAAAACACCAGAGCATTCCAGACACATCCCATAAGGAGAACGCTTTCCACAAGGCCACCACCTCTCCAATGGCCTATGCACAGCCAACACTCAATTTTTTTTCCCACTAATCCTCCTTCATTTTCACCTGCAAATCTTAGTTCTCTTCTGGAGCAACTTCTAAGGAAATAACTTGAAGAGCAACATACACCACCACTCATTAAGAAGCCCGCTAATGGGCCAGCCCCAGCGCCAACATGAATTCCATTTTTGCACTGTACCTTCCGGCTCAAAGCCAGGGAGGAAAACAACAGTGCCCCTGTCTGCAAATATTGGTGGCACTGATGACAGCCCAGTCCAATCAGGTGAGTCACTCACTCCCAAAGGGCAACCCCTCATCCCACTTGGCAGTGCTAAGAAATACTCAGCCCTCCCAGGCGACTCGCTTCTTTGTGGGATGTAGAGTACGGAGATGCCCCTGTGCTTTTCCTCCCAGAAAAGAGGGAGAGGGAGGGAGCGAAAGGGGAAGAGAGAGAAAGAGAGAGAGAGAGAGAAACCTGTGTCCTTGCTGGAGTCGACCCTGATGAACCAAAGCATTATTAAGAAAATTCAGTAACTGCTGACAGATGATCTTGGCGCTGTGTATGATGAGTATCTTGGAAGACATTGGAGCCGTTTCTTCCCATCCAAGTTTAGAAACTTTTTCCTGGGATGGCTCGTTTTTGGTTTTTTTGTTTTGGTTTGTTTGGTTTGGTTTGGGTTGGGTTTTTGCTTTTTCTGATGTCCCTTCCCTTTCTTGTCCTCCAAAGAGCAGAAACATGGAAATCAGCAAACTGTGAGGGGAGGAGGGAGGGAGGAGGGTGATGAGGAGGAAGAGAGAGAGGAGTTGTGGGGTGAGAGGAGTTCCGACGGACAGCCATCACATCAAAACTGGTGTGCTTCCCATCTTTCGGAAGCTGGAACTTAGATGGCAAGAGTGGTGAGTGGAGCCGGCACTTCAACTTCTGTCCATGCTCTAATCCCAAACACTGAACAATCTGAAGTCAAATTGTTTCATGCAGGACGCTGTTGCTAAGAGACTTGGGGAAGCTGTCACAACGGAGACATCAGCCCCAATTTCTCTCCCACCTCGCTGCTAGGAGACAGGCGGACCTGCACCAAAGAAAAAACTGAACTTTCCTCCACGTCGGACCTCAGCGCCTACAATGAATGGGCGTGCACCTGCGTTGGAGCCGGAGGTGGACAGTGGACTCAGGCCGGTTCCACTCTGCCAGAGGGGAAGCCCGAGTGCACCGTGCACCTTGGGACAGGGTGATCCCCGCAGTTGGACCGCGTCTGGCCACCAGCTCTCGCCCGGCGGCACAGGTCCATTCCTGCGTCCCCCAGCGTCAGAAGGTGTGTACAGGACACGCTCCAGCAGAGGCCCCGGTCGGAGAGCAACAAAGTGGGAACAGACCTGGGCGAGGGCTCGCTGGAGCCTCAGTTTCCCCATTAAGAAATGAAAGAATACAAGATGCTGAGCCCCTTCCAACTCTCCAACTCCCAGTGACTCCGAGTTGATTCGAGTCTCCCAGTCCTCCGGGCATCCCCCTTCTCTCCACCGCTGCCACCCCCACCCCGACTATCCACCTGGGCTCCTGGAAAGGGGTCTCCTTACCCACAGTGGCGGCCCGGGTCTCCACGCAGAGCCACAGAGCGACGGCTAGCAGCGCCTTGCTCGCCATCCCGCACCTCGCGCGAGGCGCAGTGCCCACCACTCAGGCGCCAACGCTGACTCCCCCTGTCTGACTCAAGAGCCTTGGTGCAGGACCCAGGAGGGCAAAGGGTACCCTGCCCCGGAGAGGCGGCTGCAGGAAAGTCTATCCCGGTTGCAGGACGAGCTCTGGGGGTTTCTTGTGGAGCGTGCCCCAGGGATGCCCCGCGTGGGCACAAGAGTCCGCACTCAACCTGCGCTCCCGGGGTCCGGACACTCAGTGTTGTCCGGGTGGGAGCAGGGCCCAAAACTTAGAGCGCGGGGCGGGACCGAGGGCGGGACCGGGTCTAGGCGGGGCTCCCTGAGCAGCTGGCTCCGCCCTTTGCCACGGACTGGGCTGAGATCCCGGGTTCCCCACGCCTGCTCCAGCGCCCCTTCTCCCACCTGCCCAACCCTGCACAGTACCCCACTTGGAAGAGAGACACCAGGCGAAGCAGCTCGCTGGATGTAAACAGTTCGCGCCGGGCTCCGAGCCAGCGCGAGGTTCGGGCGGTTGCTGGTGCCCTAGTTTGGGGAAGCATCACTCAGAGCGCAGCGAGGGACACTGCGCCCTCGCCAGGCGCGTCGGAGCGCGGGGCCCCGCTCCAGCGGGGATCCTGAATAGGGCTGCTGGCTCACCTTGGCAGCGGATTCGACCATGATTTGGGGTTTTCTATCGGTTGGCAGTTCTGCCTGGGTTAGCGCCCGCGGCGGTAGTTGCCTACGCGCATTTCGCGGCGTCCGGGCGACCTCGGATTGCGTGGATTTATCCTGCGCACCCCGGAAGGCGTTTCCCTGCCTGCCTCTGGCCAGAACCCGACCACAGGAATCCGGGAGCGGGAGCTACCCACGGCTCGCCCCTCCAAGAGACGGCGCTTGCCGGACTAAGAGCTCCAAGCCTATCCGGGCAGCGCCTACAGCCCCGTCGGCCTCAGGCACCCCTGGAGGGAAGCCAGATTGCGGCGGACTTCACCCGGGCGCGCCCGAAGGGGCCAAGCCTCACGCGCGCGTGGGCCTCCCTTGGGCGGCTTGCGGGTCTGAGTGCTCTGATCGCCACCCTTGCTTCTTGCGTCCCTCCATTTCTCCCCTGGAGAACGTGCGCCTTCCGCATCGTGTCTCTGGTCCCGGTTGCGTCCAGGTGCTCTGAAATGAAGACGTAAGATTACTATTTCCTGCGTCGCAAACTCGTTTCTTTGGGCGGCAAATATGACTTTTCTGCCTCGCTATGGCAACATCTACTGTGTGCTTCCAAGCTTCCTGGTTGACTCTTGGAATATTTTAACACTGAAGTCCTAATGGAGACAAAAACTTAAAATTCTTTAGAAAAAGCTCTTTCCTTCTGCAGAAACAAATAGGTTAAAGTTTCCTTATCTCCTGGTCAATTCTGCGCACGCGTGGATGTAGTTTTTTCCTGCCCGTTCCACACATGGTGTTTGATATAAGCGCAGGTTCAAGCTTTTGCTTTTTTTTTTTTTTTCCCTCCACTTTGAAATGTACCTTGGAGAGCATACCACAGCACAGCTTACCTCAAGCTCCCATCTCTTCCACAGTGACACCTCTTCTCACTGCACGGGATGTACTCGTATCTATCTTAAAGGTGTTTGGGAGACTTTTGTCTCTTCCTGATGTGGGCGCCAGCAGACCTGGTTAAAGGGAAAGGAGGTGAAACAGGGTTGGAAGCGGGCAGTCCCTCCCCCCAACCTCCGCCTCTCCCTCAGCCTTATTTACAATTCATGACACACGGCTCCCTTAAGATAGCGTCTCCTCCAAACGCAAACCAGAACCTGCAGACCCTCGCGGTAATAGCCCCCTTCAGAAGTCTTAGAGGAAACGCTGCGTCTTTGATGAACACGAGACCAGATTTTGGCAGAGTCTCAATGAAATCAGTCTATTCCCATTCCCTCCCACGCAGCACTTAGTCCGTTCATGCAGAAATAGCAAAGCCTATTTTTTTAAAGGTCTGTTCTGAGTGCATTGCCATTGCCTGGCCCTGCAAAGCGGGTAGATATGGTCACTCCATAGCAAAATGTGTCCGAGGTTCGGCGGATGGTGCTCGCCCGCCGCCCCTGAAGAAGCGGCAGTGACGGCTAAGTGCACGGATTCTTCACAGAAACCCTGCACGAGTTGGACTCCCGAGTCCATCAGTTCTATAGTGTGGTCTGGACCAACTTCAGATCATAGCACAGTTTTTGCAAGAGTTCAATGAGTGACTGCACGGAAGGTCCCTGGATTAGGATCCAGCACAGGTAAGCAGGTGCACCTTCAGCATTTTGCAAAGACTGCCTGCTACAACCCATTGACTCCCGCTTGCTGGTGCAAATGAGACTCACTCATTGGGCATCAACTTTTAAGAAGCCAGAATGCACGAGGCACTGTACCAGAAACTGGAGCTCGTATGTAGAAAACCACGGCGTTAGGAGCACCAAAGGGCGGTCACCACCGCAACCTCACCCTGGCAAATTTAACTTAGTCACAGAGTACTCTCTGTCTCCAGCTACTCCTTGAGATGTCTGCACACAGAATATACATTGCTCTGATTTGGAGCAGGCTACATGAATTATGCTCTACACGCCCCAAAGTTGGTTACATCACCACCAGTTTGTTGGGCTTCACATGTTAACAAGTAAATATGGAGAAGGAAGGTTAAATGTGGGAGTTGCATAAGCGTTCACATTACTGTTCTACCTACTTTTCTTTGGAAGATTTGTTTATTTTTATTGGAAAGGCAGATATACAGAGAGGAGGAGAGACAGAGAAGAAGATCTTCTATCTGATGATTCACTCCCCAAGGAGCTGCAATGGCCGTAACTGTGCCAATGCATAGCCAGGAGCCTGGAGCCTCTTCTGGGTCTCCCACGCGGGTGCAGAAATCCAAGGCTTTGGGCCATTCTCAACTGCTTTCCCAGGTCACAAGCAGGGGGCTGGAGGGGAAGCAGGGCCACCAGAATTAGAACCAGCGCCTTTATGAGATGTCCCCTATATGTCAGTGACTTGACACAGTGAGAAGCAGGATGCGTGTGACCTTGGGTGTGCCTTTCTGCAACTGTAGGCATTCGTTTCGTAAATGAGAATAATCGTTCTTGACCAGGCCAGCAGGCAGAACTGCTGTGAGACTCAAATGAGACCATGCCTTGGAAGTGTCTCGGCCACGGTGAAGGTCACAGCACAGGTTCTTTCCCAGGGTTGCCCATGCGAGTGGCTAAGGTCCATGTCTCCCACTCTTCTCCCCTGAGGACTGCGTCGGACGTGAAGACGACAGTATCTCCTCTCTTCCTTTGGAATACCGATAGTGGAATGCATACACAGAGAGATGCAGACTCACATGGGGAAATTCTACAGAAAACATCTGGAATGCACACCAAGCAAGTGTGTGCTTTTGGTTGCAGCAGAAAGACAGTGGGTGGAAATCTACATCCTGGCCTTCACCAATATCTGTGATTTTTTTTTTTCATACAAGAAGCCTTACTTTTATAAGTTAAAAAAGAAATAGAAATCAGAAGCTATTCTCCCGTATAGTGGCTATTCTAGGAGTTTGTCCAAGTATTTTTTGATCACATATCCATATGATGTTTCTCTTGTTGGCGTCCTTTAGTTGGATTCCCACATTTGTTTGTTTTCTTTCACACAAGCCTGGTCTGATGAGGATTAAACTCCACAGCCCATCTCTGCTCATCACTGTTGTGCCTTGGGAGATCAATTGCATATTGTTTAATTATGTTTCTCACCTAAAATATATTTTAATGTAAGGGGAAAAGTATTGTGTTACCGCAAAGTCAGTAATCCAATAATTCTTGGATTATTTTTTATCCATGTCCAGTTTTGTTCATGAAGTCTTAGGTTGTAAAAAACCGAAAATAAATTTCCCCTTGTTTTATGATTAAAAGTTCGAGGTTAAGCCAAACTTTGTATCTTGCTATTTACAAAGGAAAAAAAAATCTTAATTTCTATAAACATGTCTGCATATGTTCCCTCCTCAAACTCTCCCTCATAGTTTCCTGAAATGTGTTGTATAAAGATAAATAATTGCAAAATAAATAGATGATATAGAAAAATTAAATAACTGAAAATCCACCCCTCTGCCCTGGAAGGATGCTGGAAAGCCAGCACTTGTGGGGTGGCCCCTGCTTTCCTGTGTCGCTGCTTTTACACCATGAGAGCTGCAGTCATGGTTAGTGTGCTCAGGAAAGGAGAGGGACAAGGGAAAACGGTTATTCTTAAGTAAATAGGGCTTTTTCCCCCCCCTTTGTCTTCATAAAAGTCTTTCTTTAAAAAAAAAAAGTTGCTGTACATTTGCAAAAAAACACAAAAATCAATGTCATTTTCCACCATTATTTAACAGTGTGCTAAAAGTGAACACAGGTCCCAGTTTTTCAAATGAGGACAATGAAGAAGGGACAGACGGCTAGACGGCTGGGACTTCTTGGGTTGTCTTAGTTAATTCTCATAATTACCCAATAGAGACGCTTTAAGTATTCCCGTATACCATAAGAGCCAGGGGATGTTCAGGAGCTTTTAAGTAATGTGCCCATCATGCCACAGCATGAAAGGGGTGGAATTCGCAGGGCAGTGGGGTTAAGTTTCTGTGAGAGCCTTGCGAATACACAGTCTCTTATTGAAGCCTGGGGAAGCTGATGCCCCTGGCTTGGTCTGCTCACTCCTAGTTTCCAGGGAGATGGGAAGCTGTGGATTACTCAGGAGAGGCACCTGCGGGGGTTGACCAAGGGAGAACGAGAAGCATGCAGCAGACTGCCCAGCCATACTGGGTCTTCCCTTCCAAAAAAAGCAATTGCTTCCATGCAATTGTTACTCATAGGAAGTTTCTTTTCTGGACTTTTTTTAACCTCTGTCTTCCTGGACATTCTTCTATGCCCAGATCAAATGCCCTGCCAACATGATGCTTTGGTTTTCATCCAGCTGTCTTCTTCAGCTGAGAAATAAAGACAAGTAGTTAAGTGTAGAGGATGGTTAAAAGAGTGTCGTAAAGATTGTTCAGGGGGTGATGTTGACGCTTCTCTCATAAAATCAACTTTCTATACTCGTGATAGAGCTACTGTCAAGATGCTTACAGGCTTGAAATCATATGACCAGGCTCTCTCTACCAAGCCACGTTTAAATATAGTAGTCACACATGTAATAAGCCCAAACTTCCACTGAATTG